TCTTGCTTTCTTTTTTCTTTTCTTTCTTTCTTTTTCTTTCTTTCTTTCTTTCTTTCTTTCTTTCTTTCTTTCTTTCTTTCTTTCTTTCTTCCTTTCTCTCTCTCTCTCTCTCTCTCTCTCTCTCTCTCTCTCTCTCTCTCTCTCCTTCTTTCTTCTTTCTCTCTCTCTCTCTTTTTGAAACACGGTCTTGCTATGTAGTTCAGGCTGGCCTTGAAATCATGGCTATCCTCCTGCCTCAGCTTCCTAAATGCTGGAATCAAGGGTGTGTGAGCCACTGTGTCTGGCTTGATGCTGTGATGCTTTTAGCATTCACTGCCAGTTTCTTTACTGCCCACTTTCCCAGTGCCAGTACCACATGTAGCTTTTTTTTTTTTTTTTTTAATGACAACAAGCACCCCTGTTTTTTTTCTTTCCTTTTTCTTTTTTCTTCATGACTGGGGCTTGAACTCAGGATCCTCACACTGGGCTACATCTTCAGCCCTTTAAATTTTAATTTTAAAAAATTCTTTATTTTAAGAGAGGATCTGGCTAAGTCAATAAGGTGCCCACTCTGGGTTTGAACTTGGAATCCTCCTGCCTCAGCCTCCTGAGTGCTGGGATTATAGGCATGCACCACCACACTCAGCTCGAGCTCTGGCTTTTTGGCATCAGTTTCTGAGGTTCAGGTCCACATTGCCCCTGGAGCAAATCAGAATGCTCCAGGAGCAGCAGACAGGCTGGTCCCCTACGTTCAGGAGCCCCACACCCCGTGCCTCCTCATTCTGGGACTCAGGCTGGCAGCAGACCTATGTGTGACTCAACGCTCAACTTTGTGAGCTCAGAGCGCCCAGCCCCAGTGACCCTCAGCTTGCTGCATGCAGTGACCCAGGCAGCCGCTGGCCGGGACGAACGTGGGTGGGAAAAGGTCCTGCCCAGGGCCACCAAGAGCCACGTGGCAGCAGGCAGGCGGGGCACACTCTCATCCTGAGATGGAGAAATCAGAGCCCCCCCCCCCCCCCCGAGAAGCCTGAGACCCGGACAGGGGACCCAGCAGGGTGGGTGGCAGTCTGAGGGGGAGGCGGGGTTCCGTCCCTGCCCCGCTCCGACCGTCTTTGTAATTCTGGAGCTGTGGCACAAACCCACGGCTCTGTCTGAGGCCCACGTGTCAGGAGCCAGCATCCCGGAGCGCTGGGCTCTGGGCCGCCTTCTTGGTGGAGGTGCACAGCGAGACCCAGAGCTCCGCCCACGCCCGTGTCCTCCGCAGGGGCCTGGATCATCACCGGGGGCTCCCACGCCGGTGTGATGAAGCAGGTGGGCGAGGCAGTGCGTGACTTCAGCCTGAGCAGCAGCTACAAGGACGGAGAGGTCATCACCATCGGCGTGGCCACCTGGGGCACCATCCACAACCGGGAGGGGCTGGTCCACCCCACGGTGAGCAGGGCTGGGAGGGGCGGAGGAGCAGTGCGGGGTGCAGGGTCTCCTGGGTGAGACAGCACGCCGGGGGGGGGGGGGATCCAGTGCCTGGGATGGGCAGCTGAGTGGGGGACCCTGGGGTCGTCCCTCCCGATCGCGGGAAGGGTGGTGAGGAGCCAGGGTCTGTGCCCAGGGGAGGGTGTACCCTAGAGCCGCTCTGAGAGGGATGGAAGGGGGTGCGGGGGAAGGAGGTGACGTCCCAGGGAGAGCACGGTGAGCGCCCTTTGAGGCTGAAGACAGAGACCCTGTGACTGGGGGCCTCGGGAGAAGCTGCTGCCCTAGAGCAGCTGGGCGAGGGCGGTTCATCCGGCAGGATTTTCTAAGAACGTGGAGGATTGGCACGGCAAGGAAATGAGGAACCGTGCACTTAATTTGCAGTCGGGAAGGTTGGGGGTGCCGTCCCCTGTGACTGCTTGCGAAGGGAAGCACGTGGGGCGCCTCCCTGGGGCGGCAGCTCCCGGGTCAGAGGAAGCAAAGCGCCTCGAGGGCACGGCGGGCGCTCACAGCTGCTCCGCCTACGTCGTCTTTCTCTCTCGCAATCGGTGCTGCTCCACGCGGTGCAGGCCGCCGACTCTGCCGTCTTCTGTGTGAGCTCATGTTACAGAGTGGGAAACCGAGGCCCTAGGGATCAACACCACCCTGCTGTCCCTGCACCCTGAGCTCAGCCAGGGCCCCCGTCGTTCTGTCGCTCCGTCCTCCGTGGACAGCGGAGGACGCGAGTGCAGCGGCTTCCTGGCCAGTGTCTGCGGCTGCCGTGACGGAGCGGCGTGCTTTCCAGGAGACACTCGGGGACACTTAGGACCTGCTCAGATCACACCCAGGCTCCAGGATTAGGATTTGATCTCTGAGGGCCGACGTTCAGCCGACTGGGATCCACCCTCTGGCCTTGAGTTTCACGTCCATCCCACGGGCAAAATATCTGCACTGCAGCAGCTCAGACCCTCAGTTCTCAACCCATTTCTTCAAAATCTCACATCCATATCACCAGCCCGTAGGTCAGGGATCGCACCCTGCAAATCAGGTGTGGCTCAGTCGCTGGGTGTGACCCTTGTCCAGCTAAAGTCCTCTTCCTGTGGGAGGCATGTGTGAGAACAGAGACACGTTTTTGCTTATGCACGGGGACACACACGCACACACACGCACACACACACACGCCGGTCCTGGTTACAGATGTCCTTCTTCCCAAAGGGGACACACGGGAGGAGCCAAGGGCCCCAGGTTCCAAGCCGCCCTGTGGAGCTCCTGAGTAGGCACCGGGATCTCTGCCGGTAGACGGGAGAGCCCTCCTCAGGGCGGCCGAGGGCTGTGCCATCTCTCTCCCGGGCTTCTGCTGGGGCGGCTGGGTGACCCACAGTCACATGCCCGGTCCCTCGTCCCTGGGAAAGGTTGTCAGTCCACGCACTCGGCCCTCTCTCTGGTGTGAGTGGTGTGAACAGCGAATTTGTCCATCTTTAACACCAGGCAATCTGGCCGGGCTGCAGGCCCCGCATAGAGTCCTGGCTCTGTTCTGCTCCTCAGCACCCCTTGATTTATCTTTCCTTTTCATGAGCAGCAGTGAGAAGAGCTCAGCGTTTGCTTGGAAGTCTCAGCTAAACGTCCAAATCTGTCACGTATCATTCTATTTGGTTTTGTGTCAGGGCAACATGTATTTTCTACCACCACACGCACTCTCTTTGTGTGCTCCTTCCCGATCGCCGGGTCTCCGCAGGAGTCTGTTCAAGGAAACGGACACTTCTCCTCTCACGTGCCCCAAACCTCCCACTTCCAAAGCCCCACCACAGGCTTAGGTCCCTCACAGTGCACCCCACTTCTTGTCACCAAATCGGCACTGGCTTCTGGTGGCATCTGTAACATCGCTACAACCCTTCCAGCAGCAGAAATTCTCTGTCACCTTAAAGTGGGCTCTGAAATCAGTACTGTTGGGCCTGGGTCGGGTGCGGAGGCAGGACAGCCCCCTCCGAGGCTGCGGGGAGGGGCTGCTTGCTCACTGCTCTGGTTTCCAGAGGCGCCGGGGTCTGACCTTCCAGCCGTGGCCCTGTCACTGCCCCCGGGCCCTGGCCTCCCCTCACCGTGTGGCCCCTCTGCCTGTCGTTTGAGGACTCCTCAGATGGCATTTGGGTCCCACTCAGACAGCCGTCTGTCTTCCACACCCACACCCTTTACTTAACCACACGCACGAGGACCCTTTGTCCCAACAAGGTGACGCTCGCAGGTTCCCGAGCCCAGGACTCGCTGTCTTGGGGGCCATCCCCCGGCCTCCCAACCCACGCTCCCAGTGCTCAGGAGGCGGGGGCTCCCCCCGGCCTCCCAACCCACGCTCCCAGTGCTCAGGAGGCGGGGGCTCGCCCCGGCCCCCCTGACTCTGCTGCGGTCCCCAGGGTGGCTTCCCTGCCGAGTACGTCCTGGATGAGGAAGGCCAAGGGAAGCTGACCTGCCTGGACGGCAACCACTCGCACTTCATCCTGGTGGACGACGGCACGCACGGCCAGTATGGGGTGGAGATTCCCCTGCGGACTCAGCTGGAGAAGTTCATATCCGAGCAGACCAAGGAGCGAGGCGGTGAGCGAGTGGCTGTGCGGAGTCTCGGGGCAGAGGCTGGCCGGCTGGGCAAGTGTCGGGGAGGCGTGGAGCTCCGCAGGTGGTGCTGGGCGCAGTGCTCCTCTGCCTCAGCCCTTCAGTGCTGCTCCCCGGCCCTCAGCCAGGGATGGAAGCTCAGTGGGGGCCTGGCGTGTCTGTGCACCCTTGGGTGACAGGGTGTCACAGCCGTTTCAGACCTCAGGCCTGGTGTCGGGTTCTTCTGAACAGGACAGGGGACATCGGAACTCTAGCTTGACTTCCCTACCCAAGGGCAGGCCAGGACCCTGAGGGGCACAGGGCAATCTCACATGAGATGCAGGGTACAGGTTCTGGAGATCTTTTTTTTTTTTGTTTTTGTTTTTGGGTTTTTTGGTTTTTCTCCGGTACCAGGAATTGAACTCATAACCTTGCGCTTGCCAGGCAGGCGCTGTGCCGCTGAGCTAAATCCCCAGCCCCTTTCTGGAGATCTTTGATTAGAGGGATTTGGGGCGGTGCCTGGGTTGTCCTGGATGCTTGGAGCGGCACACCGTCAGCTTCCTCAGAATCCGAGGGGGCTTGCAATCCCAGGTGTTGGAGCCCTGCCCCAGGGCCTGACTGCAGGTCTGGTGGGGTGCAAACTTGCGTCCTTGTGTGTTCCTGCGTGTGGGGCCTTGCTTGGGGAACCTCACTCTGCCCAGGTGCCCTGGGGGGGCGGGGCAGGCAGGGCCGCTATGTGTCTGATGGAGAGTCTGTGCCTGGGGAGGGTTCCTGAGGTGTCTCCCTTGAGCCTGGCCGCTGGGTAGATGGAGGGTGCAGGGCGGGGCTCCTGCTGCGACCTGCCTCCCAGGATGGGTTAGGCCCCTGCTGGAGGTGCCCCTTGGGCACCATGGCCAGATTGCAGAGAAAATTGGGCTGGCGGTGGTGGCCGCTGGGAGAGAGGACAGGCAGCCCAAGTGAGCCGGGGCAGGAAGGGGCAAAGGTGAGTGACAAGGCATTGTTAGGAGCTCTTGGGTCCGTACTGGATAAGCAAACTGTCCGACTGCGGACAGTGGCCACCCTTAGAAGCTGTTTATTACTGTCACTTGTCCCTGAGCTGACACTGGCCCGTGTGGCCGGGCTGGAGCCCCAGGGGTGGGGAAGTGACTCCCTCACCGAGCCGTCTTTCCCAGGCGTGGCCATCAAGATCCCCATCGTCTGCGTGGTGCTGGAGGGCGGCCCGGGCACGCTGCAGGTGGGTACTGGCCGCCTCCAAGGGAGCCTGGCTGGGGTGGGGAGCTGTCCTGGGGAGGTAGAGCAGGGAGACCCACCATGTGACAGGGGCATTTGCAGGTGGGACGGGGGAGGGTGGCCATGGAGTGGGAGGGTGGTTGGGCTTTGGCCTGTGCGTTACCAGAGGGGCTCCAAGTGGGCCTAGGTCAGCAGGGGCCCCTCTGGAAGGGGGCGGTTCCTTCAGGACCTCTCCTAGGCCAGGCCCCACTGCGTGTAGAGCAGACCTGTCAGATGGCTGGAGTGGCCGTTTCATGGAGCTCCCTCCAGAACCCACTTGGAGGCTCGTGGCTTACCTCCTCCATCGTTCTAGCCACCCCCTCTGGGTTCCACACTTTCTAATGGCTGAGACAGAGTGCCCTGAGCCCGCCGGCTAGAGGAGGAGAGGTGGATTGGCTCCCAGTCTGTAGCGACTTCAGTCCAGGTCAGCTGGCGCTCAGGGAAGGCAGCCTGGAGGAGGAGAGCTCTTCAGGGCCTGGCACACAGGAAGCAGAGGGAAGGAAAAACCGGGGGAGACGCCCCCTTCTGGCCACGCCCCTTCTGGCCACACCCCCAGCACCCCTGTTCCCAGGCCCGGCCTCCTGGCAGCCGGCCAGCTCTGAGCCCCTCGGTCAGTCCCGACGTCTGTGATCTCACGAGGCTTCAGGGGCCGTGTACATATAAACGGTGACACCATCTGTCACAGGAACCCAGGATGTGGAGCAAGGCTGTGGGGTTGTCTGCGGGTTGTAGAAAATGCCCCACTGTCAGGACCCCAGGAGGTGAAGACAGAGCCCCAGGCCTCCAGGCTGGCTGGGGTCGCGGCGCTTCTTGTCTCCATCCCCACCTCCAAGGCTGAGTCCCGCTGTGCCCTGTGCTGGGCAGCTCGGCACTGCAGGCTCCCCTGCCAGGTGGTGCGACACGGCGCACGCCGGCCGGGGCCGTCTCTGTGGTCCTGGCTCCCTGGGCCTTGGTGACTGCAGGTTTGTGGAGCAGAGACTTCTGCCCGCCTTGGGAATGTCTCAGAACCCTTTATTCCTGGCCGCATAGGGAGACATGTTAGACAAGCACGGCACGGGGTGTCAGGTCCCTCGTGTCCCCGGGAGCACTAGTGCTCCTATGGATCCCCCCCATCCCACCCAGCTACTGCCGTGAGGGCTCAGGTTCGGAGCGGCAGAGCCAGGCGGGGCTGCAGCGGCTCACGCAGGCCTGACTTTGCAGACCATCTACAACGCCATCACCCACGGCACACCCTGCGTCATCGTGGAGGGCTCGGGCCGCGTGGCTGACGTCATTGCGCAGGTGGCCAGCCTGCCGGTGTCCGACATCACCATCGGCCTGATCCAGCAGAAGCTCAGCGAACTCTTCCAGGAGCTGTTTGAGACCTTCACGGAGGGCAGGATTGTGGAGTGGACCAAAAAGGTGAGGCGGTGGCCGGTCAGCAGTGTGAGACGATGCCCAGAGACCAGAGGGACCGGAAACAGAATTCTCAGTGCGGGGCCGGGACGCTGCAGCTCAGGGGCGCCCTTCCGGGGAGAGGAACCCACTGTACCGAAGCGGGGGGTGGGGGTGGGCGCAGGGAGGCCCCCGGAGGGCGACAGGGCTATAGGGCCCAGGGCGGGCAGGGGGCAGCCAGCGTGGTGTGGCCTAGTGAGGATTCAGTGTTGTAAGTGCATCTGGAGGTACTTGCAGTGGCCTCAGAAGCGCTGTCTCCGCCGTCCAGAGGCTGGACTTTGGGTGCTCCCAATGAACTCTGCAGGGGTTCTGTGTAAAGGCCGGGACCGGTCAGCCTCCTCATCCCAGAGCTCCAGCCCAGCCCGAGAGGAGAGTGGAGGGCTGCCCAGCACCGATCCTGTCTCCTGGCAGGAGTCTCTCTGTTCCTGTTTACCCCACAATACTTTGTCTTTCCTTTCACATAACTCTTAAAGGTAACCCAGGGGGCAAGCGGTCCTGGATGCCACACACAAAGCTACACGTGCTTTCAGGGCCTGTGGGAGTGACCCTGGCACTGGCTGAGCTGATTGGGGTCCTGTGGGCGGCCAGGGTGCACTGGCCAGAGACCACAGAGGTGCACGGGAGCCAACCACAGCAGGCCATGACTTGTGGACCACAGGTGTCAGAGAACCTGGCTGGGACGTGGGCTCTGACTGGTTGACTGGGAAGCAGGGCTCCGTGACTGGGTGCCTCTGGGGTGCATGGTGACCTTGTTCTAGCTTTATCGAGGGTTCAGGGCGACCTCGTTCGATGGTCTATGAGACAGTATTTGTCCAGCAGGAAAACAGCATGGGTCCTCATGTGCTCGAGGGTGTGCCACGCCACTGGCTCTGCCCCAGCCTCTCTGCCTCCTCCTTCCCTGTGGCTGGACCCGTCAGGCAGACCGGGGCCTTTTCCAGCTAGATAATAAATTATTCAGGCAGTTCTCAGAACTGGGGCTGATCCTCTGCTGTCGGAAGGTGCTGATTTTGTTCTCAGTCCACTCTCGATTGTCAAGTCCAGGCCCTGGAAGCAGTGTTTGGCACAAACTCATCTCAGTTTGGTGAGGGGAAAAAGAAAAAACCAAAACCAAAACAAAAAAGGGGCTGGGGATTTGGCTCAGTGGCAAAAGTGCCTGCTTGGCAAGCGCAAGATCGTGAGTTCGATTGCCGGTAACGGAAGAAAAACAAACAAACAAACAAAAAACCAAAACCAGTTTGGTGAGGGGAAGAGCAGGCCCTGTGATTCTCGCCGCCAGGCACAACTGGGCCGCTCCTTCCAAAGCCCCCGGAGTGTGGACCTGCCCGGGTGCTGCCCTTGGGTGTGGCCAAGGGACAGGCACCCGCTGGGGGCATCTCACAGCGGAAATGGCCACTGGGCCAGCGTGATGGCTGTTCTCCTGGGAAAGGGAGTGGAAGCTCACAAGGAGCGGAGCTCCTCTGGGTGCCAGCTCGGCAGCTGCTCCTGAGAACACAGGCCAGGTTACACGCGGGAAACACCGCTCCAGCTGTGCGGAGCAGCACATGGGGAAGGAGGGCAGGGAGCTTTTTTTAAGGCAGGGTCTCACTATGCAGTTCAGGTTGACCTTGAACTCACAAAGATCCTCCTGCCTCAGCCTCCTGAGTGCTGGGATCACAATGTGCGCCACCACTCCCAGTGCAGGAAGCTTTTGAAGTTGCTGTGAAAGGAGGACGGTGGGGGATGAGAAAACATTGGGCCTCAGTGATGTTGACCAGTTGGGGAGAGTCAGTGGCTCAGAGATGATGGGGGTGTGGGGGTGTCCCAGGCTGCGGCCGCGTGCAGGTCTGAGAGGCGGAGGGAAGGCAGGCGGGGCTGGTGTGGCCTGGGGAGTGGGGCGCGGTCTGAGGCTTCCTCGGGATCCGCAGGAAATCTGCAGGATGGTGTAGCTGTGTGGAGCCCACCTTGGCCACAGGGTGAAGGAGTTTGGGGGAGGAACAGCTGGCAGCAGGCAGAGCTGCTAGGACGCATTATAGCGGGCCACAGACAGCTAGATACGTGGGTGCATGGGTGCGTGGATGGATAGATACATGGATAGGTAGGTGATAGATAAATAGATGCATCACGGGTAGATACACAGGTGGATAGATAGGTAGATGGGTGAGCGTATGGGTGGGGATGGAGGAATGGATGGATAGATTCGTGGATGAATGGATAGATGGGTGGGTGGAGGAATACATAGGTGGATGGATGGATGAATGGATGGACAGATGGATACGTGTATAGATGGATAGATTGATGGATGGATACATGTACAGATGGATGGATGGATGGGTGGGTGGATGGATGGGTGTATTGATACATGTATGGATGGATAGATACACGGATGGATAGAAAGCTACCCGGACAGAAATGTGGACGTGTGTAGAGCCTTGGGGGTATGGGTAGGTAGATGACACACATAGGTGGAAGGATAGATACAGGGGTGGGTGATGGATAGATACACAGACAGGCAGGTGGGTGAGGCCCAGGCAGCTGGGGCTCAGGCAGAGGACCAGGAGGAGAAGCCTCAGGCTAAGCCGTGCTGGGTGCCCAGCAGACACCACACCATCATCAGGGCGAGGATTCTTTACGCTTGGTCGTGTTCTCCCCCTGTGACCGCCCACATCACGTGTGCTTGGTCCTCAGGTGTCATCGTCTTTACCAGCTGAGGCGAGAGGAGGTAGACTGGTGCCCTGGCCACTAGGGCAGGCAGGGCTTGTACTCCAAGGGTCTGTGTTGGGCCTTGGGCTTCTGAGCAGGACATTTGCTTGTTGCAGATCCAAGACATTGTCCGGAAGCGGCAGCTGCTGACCATCTTCCGGGAAGGCAAGGACGGTCAGCAGGATGTGGATGTGGCCATCCTGCAGGCCTTGCTGAAAGGTGAGGGCCAAGGGGAGTGAGGGTGTGGGGGTGAGGCCAGAACAAGGGGCCAGGGAGAAGGAGCCCGCCCCGAGGTGGCACAGTCCCCCTCTGTCTGACATATTGGCTAGCGGGCAGCTGGCATATGCCATGCCACTTCCTCCTGCTGTCCACGAAGCCCCGCTAAACCCTGGTGAGATGCACTCAGAGCGGCACTCTGAGACACATGGCAACCAAGCACTTAAAAGCCAAACACAAGTGATCTTGATCAGCAGGGGAGGATCCACGTCACAGACCAGGGCTCCCTTATCTACAGCCTTCTCTCCAGAAACTTTAAAGCTGGAAGGCAGTGAGTAGGATGATGTATTCAAGTATGAAAGAAAACTGTCAATCGGGAATCCTATACCTGGTGAATCTGTCCTGCAGAAGGGTGGGGGAAATCAAGACAGCCCCAGATGGAGCAGCCCTCGGGGACCTTGCTGGTACCGGACCTGCCCACTGGGTAATCTCAGGGGAGACGGGGAATGAAAGGATGCTAGGCAGAGGCTCAGAGCCAGAGGAGAAAGGAAGACCTTGGCATGGCAAATGCATGGGGAGCTATAAAATCTAGCATCACTGTCACAGTGGTTTATAACTGCAACTTTTGTTTACTGTAGTACTGAAGAGATTAACACACTAAAAATTAGTTATTAGTCTACAACATAGCATTATCACTGCACATTTTGTTTTCTATATAATTTAAGAGGCTAATGTGTTTCAAGGAATTTCTAGTTTTAGGGGGACATGATGTATAAACATGTAATTTTGTGATATTAACAACCAAAAGGGTGGGGATAGGACAGCTAAAGGAGCAGAGTTTCTGTATGTTATGATGCGTGTTTCATGTAGTGAAGTTAAGCTGAGATAAATTCAGGTTAGAGGGATATAACTTTAAGATGTTTGCTGTAACCCCTATGGTAACCACAAAGACAACAGATAAAGAATATATGCGAAAAGGAATTTAAATATATTACTACAAAAACACAAGCAAAGACCGGAATGTGGCTCAGTGGCAGGTCAGTTGCCTAGCATGCATGAGACCCTGGGTTTAACCCCAACACTGCACCCCTTACCCTCTGAAACCACCTAAGTGCAGAATAGGACACAATGCAGGAAATGAGGAACAGAGAAAAAACTAAGACATACAGAAAATAAAGAACTAAATCCCAGAAATAAGTCCTTCCTTATCAGTAGTGACTATTTCTTTTTCAGTAGTGACTTTAAATATAACTGGTTTAAATTCTTTAATCAAAAGACAGAGACTGGCAGAATAGAAAAAAATGTTATCCACCTCTGTGCTGTCTACAAGAGACTCATTTTAGATCCAAATAGACAGATTGGAAGCAAAAGGATGAAGAAAGATATTCCACATAAATAGTAACAAAAGAGAGCAGTTCTGGAGGTGGGGAGGGTGATGTGTGCACTGAACTTTACACTGATGATTACAGTTGTTTTATGCATTGTGTATTTCACACAGTGAAGAGCTTCACACGGTGCAGTAATGCATTAGATTCACATATGTCTTGCTCCTGTTACTCAGTGTGTTGTTTCTGAGATGCACTCATGTGATTGTGTGTATCAGAATAGTGTTTCCCTTTTATTGCTGAGCAGTACAGTATCCTCTTGTGTGAAGTCTGTGAATGTACAATTTACTTGTCTATTCGTCTGTGGGTAGGTCGGTTGTTTCCAGTTTGGGACTCTTGGAATGAAGCTGCTATTTGTTTTCATTTCTCTTGGGTTGATTATCTAGAGTTGGAATTACTAGTTTTTATATTTTTAAGCAACTGCCAAACTATTTTCCAATAACATTGTACTGTTTGACCTTTCTGCCCTATGGATGGGTGTTCCAGTTTCTCCACATCCTTGTCAACACTTGGTGTTGTCTTGACCTTTTAGCCATTGTGGTGAACCTGCAGTGATGTCTCAGTGTGGTTTGGGTTTGCATTTCTCTGTTGACTAAAGATGTGGAGCATTATTTCATGGGACCTTTTGGCCCTTTTTCTATCTTTCTTGGTGCATGTCTTTTGTTTCCATTTTAATTTGGTCTTTTATCTTCCTATTGAGTTGTAGGAGTTCTTTGTATATTCTGTTACTATTCCTTCCTTGTGTGTATATGCACTGGTAATATCTTTTCCGCCTTGCAGCTCGTGTCTATTTTTTTCATGATGTCTTTGAAGAGTAGAAGGCTGAAGTTCCAATGAAGTTTAATTTTCAGATTTTCCTCTCATGGTTCACTCTTCCCGTGTCCTATCTAGGAAATTGCGCCTATCCCAAGGCCGCAGACACTTGCTCCTGCTTTACTGTACAGCTTTAGACACATCACTCTGTGTTCAGGTTCAGGGCCACCTCTGAAGGGCATTTGTATGTGGTGTGAGGTAAGGGTCAGAGTTCTTTCTTTCTTCCTTTTTTTTTTTGAGACAGGGTCTCAGTATACAGTTCAGGCTGGCCTTGAGCTCACTTTGTAGCCCAGGCTGGCCTTGAACTTGCAGTGATCCTCCTGCCTCAGCCTCCTGAGTGCTGGAATTGCAGGCGTGCACCACCATGCCTGGCTTTCTTTCTTCTCCAAATAATAATCCACGATTCAAAAGTTAAATAGGAGAGCGGAACCGGGTGGAACCCTCCTCCTGAGAACCTGGGCCAGGCGCTGTTGCAGTGAATAGCGAATTGAGGCCAGAAGGGAATGTCTTGGTTTTTGGAGCTCTGAATTTTGAATGTTAATGTAGAGGGCCGCCTCTCAGAGCCCTGGGTCCTCTCTAAGGGCTGAGCTCTTTCCTTAGAACAAATAGCAGCTTCATTCCAAGAGTCCCAAACTGGAAACAACCGACCTACCCACAGATGAATAGACAAATTGTACATTCACAGACTTCACACAAGAGGATACTGTACTGCTCAGCAATAAAAAGGAAACACTACTCTGATACACACAATCACATGAGTGCATCTCAGAAACAACACACTGAGCAACAGGAGCAAGACGTATGTGAATGTTGCTGCCCACCTGTCACAAGGGGGTGTGGCATGGCCAGGAGGGGGGCCGGGGTGAGCTGGAGTGATGCTGCAACCCTGAGATTCTCTGGCTCTGACCCTGACGTGAAAAGTGCTTCCCCCAGCTGGCTGTTGGTGGAGAGGACATCACACCTGGGTGCTGGGTTTACTGCTTTGAATTACCGAGAGGTGGCGTTCACCACCCTCCCTGAGCTCGGGGTCGAGCCCCAGGCCGAGCTCCCACACTCACCGGTTCACCTGCAGCCTCACGGAGCCAAGACCACTTTGGCCACAAGAACTGGGACCATCAGCTGAAGCTGGCGGTGGCATGGAATCGCGTGGACATTGCCCGCAGTGAGATCTTTACCGACGAGCGGCAGTGGAAGGTTGGCATCTTGCGCTGCCCTGGGGTGGACATGTGGGGCCGGCAGAAACCTTCCCTTGGGAGTGAGGCCACCCTGGGGTCCTCCTCCTGGCCTGCTGCCCTGCCCTTGGAGGAGGTGACCTGGGCAGGTTCCCTCCTCCCAGATGCGGAGAGCAGCAACTCCAGGTTTCCTGGGGTCGGCGCTTTGCGAGGCGGTGGCCCCGGGTGCGGGTCACCCTCACGCTGTTCTCTCAGCCCTCAGATCTGCACCCCACGATGACGGCCGCACTCATCTCCAACAAGCCAGAGTTTGTGAAGCTCTTCCTGGAGAACGGGGTCCAGCTGAAGGAGCTCGTCACCTGGGACACGCTCCTCTACCTGTACGAGAACCTGGAGCCCTCCTGCCTCTTCCACAGCAAGCTGCAGAAGGTGCTGGCCGAGGAGCCCATGGCCGGCGTGCCTGCCACGCCCCGCCTGCAGATGTACCACGTGGCCCAGGTGCTGCGCGAGCTCCTGGGGGACTCCACGCAGCCGCTGTACCCCCGGCCCCGGCACAGTGACCGGCCGCGGCTCTCGCTGCCCGTGCCCCACATCAAACTCAACGTGTGTGCTGGTGACAAGCTGGGGGTGGGGCTGTGTCCGCCGCGTGTGTTGTGTCTGTGGTTAGCTCTTGTTGTTCTTAGGCGAGAGATGTGCTCCCTGCCTTGGGCTGTGTGGCAGTGTGACTGTGTGAAGCACCACACACTGGTGGCTCAGCGGAAACTCTGCTCGTAGTTAGGGCTCACGGTGCCAGTGGGGCTGGTTCCTGCTACGGCCCTGGCTCCAGGCTGCAGGCAACCCGCCTCTCCCCTCTTGTTGTCTTCACAATCATCTCTGGTGCTTCCTCCTCTTGTAAGGAGACGGTCCTACGGGATTAGGGCCCTACCCTCTTACCTCGTTGCACCTTAATTAAAAGGTGTAATCAAAAAATGCTGTGAACATTTGCATTTTTAAAATTACGTAAAAGACGTATGTCCATTAGTCCTCCTCAAAATGCTCCCCCTTGCTTAAAACGCACTCATCCTGTCGTCCTGGCCACGTCCTGCAGCAGCTCTGGAGTCCTTTCCTGAGTGTCTTTAGCTTCGCTGTTCTGGCTGCCTCGATGTCCTGAGTGGACTCAAAACGTTTCCCTTTCATGGTCATCTTGACTTTGGAGATGAGCCGGAAGTTGCTTGGTGCCAGACCTGGTGAACAAGGTGGATGAGGACACGGTGTCGTGTCTTTATGAGCCTGCTTTTCTGTTAGGCGGCACTCAGCGGCAGCGGTCACTATATTTTTTATCACACTTTTTTTTTTAATAAAGACACTCATGAAAAATGACTCCGGAACCGCTTCAGACAGTGGCAAGATGATGGACCCAGTGTGTTGGAAGCGAGGGGAAGATTTTGGTCACACCTTGCACGTTCTGGCAGGGTCCATCTTCAAATCCTCTGGGCACATTGCAGATCAGTGCTTCAGCGTAGGAACTTTAGGGAGCACGGTTCAGGCCTCAACACGCCCTCTTCTAGGAATTACAAACAGTAGGAAGCGTTTCAAGGGGGATCCCTGCTCTGTGCGGGTCCTGCTCCCCACACGTTCTCCGTGTTGCCATCCTCAGGGTGGTGGCAGCCCAGCCCCGAATGTGTGAGCTGTGCAGCCTGGTGGTGGCCAGGGAGCGGGTGCGGGAGTCTGCGCGCCCTCAGGGGAACACTGGTGTCCCAGGCTGAGAAGGCACTGGCTGGAATGTGTGTGAAGTTCACATGGGAGCGTCACTCCTTCTGACTTCCTGCTAAGGCTCTGGTCTGCTTCTTTGACTTTAGAATCTAGTGAGCCATTCTCATCGACTACCTGAAAGTGAAACAGACTTTTATTCCTGTTTTCAGTCTCAGCCTGAGTGTAGTGTGGTCTAGGTCTGCGTGGTGCTGGGTGCTGCCTGGGGTTCTGGGGATTTTGCATCAGTGGGTGAAGCTTTGGGTTGTAGTTTACTCAGGGTACCCTATTCAATGAGCTCCATATCAGTGTACCTTGGCTTGTGGAAACCATTGGGAAGTTCTCCTTCTTACTCTGCTCTGACATTAATTGTCTGGAGTGAGCTGCGTCCTGCCGGCTTGGTAGTTCTCCCGCGAGTCCATCGGGATCCAGTGTCGTTTTTGGTAGCAGTTCTCGTAACTCTGTTTTTTCCTTATTTCTGTTTCTGTTTTCTATGTCTTGGAAGCTCACATTTGGTTTTGCTTTTTACACGCTAGAACATTTTCCATTTCTCCAGGTTTTCCCGTCTGTCCATTGACCCCAGCAGGCAGTGCCTGACCCCTGATGGAGACACGGGGGTCTCTGGGTTTCTGCTCTGGTTCAGGGTGTGGATGGCAGTGCCCCAGCAGAATGTGCTTAGGAAGGCCTAGGGCCGGAGCTCACACTGTGTCTGCAGTTTTGGGAGATTAAGTACTTTGTTTATGAGGAGAACCCTCCAGGAAATTCCCAGGGTGCTTGTAGGAAGTGTGATTTTGTATGTGAGATGGGAAAGGTGTTCCCTACCTCTGGGGACTGTCCCCGGGCCGTCTGAGAACGGTCCTCTCAGCTGTCTGGGCTGAGCGTGGCCCTGTGGCTCGAGTGGGTCCTCAGTCCCCCTCTGGTGGCTCCGTCGGCAGGAGACATGCTGTGCGGTCCCCTCAGGAGCTCATAGCCACAATCTGGGCGCAGACCGGTGCAGAATTCGCTGCGTTGGAAAGGTGTTGATCAGATGTGACTGCAGACCCTTGTGAAGTGCCTGGCGTGTGGCCAGGGTGACGTAGGCAGATGGGCGAGCCTTTGTGGATGTGTCTGGCTGTCTCCAGGATGGTGGTGCTGAAACTACAGTGTGCATACCAATGACCTAAAGTGGTGTTGGCAAGGCAGGGCCGGCCTTCAATCCCCGCTCCCCCTGGATTCCGGCACCGCACGGCCTCCGTGGGACTTGGACTGTCCATTGTCCGCCAGGTGCAGGGAGTGAACCTTCGGTCCCTCTACAAACGTTCCTCAGGCCACATCACCTTCACCATGGACCCGGTTCGAGACCTTCTCATTTGGGCCATTGTCCAGAACCGTCGGGAGCTGGCGGGCATCATCTGGGCTCAGGTAAGGAGACCCTCTTCTCGGTGGACTTGACGGTGTGTAGGCCGGCAGCCAGCGGCGGGGCAGCTCATGGCTGTGGAGGGCGGGCAGTGGGGTCTGCAACACTGTCCGGGGCTCAGTGCCCGCCTCCCTGGGGAACGTGGAACTCGGCTCTAGGAGATCTGCCAGGCAAACTCTTCCTGCGGTTGTGTCCACACCGAGACTTATGGGCCCGCCAGGTCCTAGAGCACCAGCACATGTGCTGGATTCGCCCTGTACCTTAGGGAGACTGTGGGGCAAGCAGATGGCTCCTACAGGCCAGGCAGGATGTGGCTGACAGGAGCTACAGAGACAGGGGCCATGAAAGCCATGGCCCGGTGCCCGTCCTGTCCAAGGTCTCTGCTTTCACCAGCCAGGGCAGGTTCCTGGGCTGGGCCGATCCTGGCTGGGCCCTCCAGGTCCTCACCGGGCTGTGTCCCCAGAGCCAGGACTGCATCGCAGCCGCCCTGGCCTGCAGCAAGATCCTGAAGGAGCTGTCCAAGGAGGAGGAGGACACGGACAGCTCGGAGGAGATGCTGGCACTGGCGGATGAGTACGAGCTCAGAGCCATCGGTGAGCCCGGCCCTGGGTCTCAGCCCACACGCTGTCACCAGGGCCTGTGCCCCCAGGCCTGGGTGTCAGGGACATCAGCCCCACCTCTGTCTGGGGCGTCGCAGGCTCAGTGGCTGTCAGTTGCCGCTCTGAGGCCAGTCTTCCGCCTCCCGCAGGGGTCTTCACCGAGTGCTACCGGAAGGACGAGGAGCGGGCTCAGAAGCTGCTCATCCGCGTGTCGGAGGCCTGGGGGAGGACAACCTGCCTGCAGCTGGCGCTGGAGGCCAAGGACATGAAGTTTGTGTCTCACGGGGGCATCCAGGTGACCTCCCAAGGCCTTGCTTCCGGGATCCCGTGCCCAAGTGCTTGCGGGGTGGGTGCAGCCTCTGGTTCGCACAGAGAGTGCAGGGTCCGCACCGGTGCAGGTCTGGGGTGGCCAGGGACGGCGCCTGGCTGGAGGCACCTCCTCCCACGTGGCCTCGGTAGAAGCAGGCGGCTGATGGGCCGTGGGAGCTATGGCAGGTGGTCCCGCAGGCAGCCCCAGGAGCTTGTGTCGGCTCTCTGTCCCCATGGCCCACGAGGAACGGGACAGTTCCCTCCTGCAGCTCCCACAGAAGGCCTGGCAGGAAGTGAGTGTCCCTTGGATGCTGGGGTCTCCTGAAGCAGGGCTTGACGTTGTCACCTGTCTGCCAAGCTCCATGGTGTCTTGAGGACACCTCTGGAGCGCTTTAGCCTGGCCTCGGGGGCTGCAAAGGACCAGTTTGTGAGAACCTTGGACTGTGAGGACTCAGGACCCTAAGAGGATGGGTGCGGCAGTTCCTGGAAGGAGCAAGACTTCGGGGTGTGGGTCAGGAGTCCTGCGGGAGCCTGGCCTCTCCACCGTGTACCCTGAGGCCGTGGACGGCTCTGCCTGCTTGGAGCCTGGCCTCCGCAGCAGATGACAGGCACCTGACCTGGGTTGGCCGCCCGTGCCTGTGAGGGTGGGCGCCACCCCCTCGGGCATGGGGTGTGATGGGTCTGCTGGCGCCCACTAATCTGAGGCCACCCCACCCGCAGGCCTTCCTGACCAAAGTGTGGTGGGGCCAGCTGTGCGTGGACAACGGGCTGTGGCGGGTCATCCTGTGTATGCTGGCCTTCCCGCTGCTCCTCACGGGCCTCATCTCCTTCAGGTGCCCGGGTTGGGTTGAGGGCGCAGCTGGGCATGGGGGCCTCCTCTCCCCAGGAACCCCGTACCTCTAGTTGTGCCAGGATCCTGGACTGGTAGAGATATTGGTGGGCAGGAAGCGGGGGTATGGGCCTACTGCCATGCCCTGAGCGCCCACCTTGGGTTGAGCTCTGGCTGCTGTGTGCCCCCAGCACCCTGCTGTGCCCTGGGCCCTGAGACTGGGGAGGGTGGAGCACATGGCGCCCCCTAGTGTTGGCAAGCTGCTGGTGCTGAACCTGGTCGCATGAGGGCAGCGAGCCAAAGCCAAGGGCCACCCTGCTCCCCCTGGCCACAGAGCCCGGGGTGGGTCCCCTTCCCATCAGAAGAAGCAGTCTGTGGCCCAAGTGGCTGAAGACCCCGGCCTGGCTCAGCCCCACCCGCAGCCTCCTGAGAAGCACAGTGGCCTGGTGGGGGCACCAGCTGGATGTAGTAAGGGTTGAAACCAGAAACCTCCAAAGAGTTTCTGGTCCTGGGGGAGCCCAGGGACAGATCTAAGGCCCCAGCCCGGGTGGCCATCATTTGAACACCTCCTGTAGCTGGTAGGCCACATGCTCCCCTTCCTTCCCCTGCCCTGACAGCTGGAGACTTGCATTTGAGCTGCTGTCAGTGCTCAGAGCATCCTGGGGAAACTGAGGCACAGGGGAGCAGCCCAGGTACCCTGAAGTGGGGCTTGCTTTTCCAGTGCCCTCCAAGGGTGCAGAGCTGCAGCTGCTGTTCCCAGCAGTCTCAGTGATAAGAGGATGCAGGTCAGCACCGTCCTGGTCAGCCCTGACCCGTGTGAAGGCCAGCGAGCGCAGGTGGCCCCCACTTGCGGGGACAGTGCCAGGAGCACCCAGGCCTCATGTGCAGTCTGTGTCCTGGGTGGGAACCATGACATCCCTGCCCCGGGGCAGGGTGTGAGGTCGACCTTTGAGTCCCCACTGTGGGGCTGCGTGTGCGGGTCTGGGGTCCATAGCACCAGAGGGATGAGGCTCCTTGTGCTGACCCTCCAGGAGCTGGCGCACGGCCTCGGGTGGCAGTGACACCTCCCTGGCACGTTCACCCCTGTGCTGTGTCTCGGGGACGTGGGCTCCACGCGCGGCTGAAGCCTGGCCCCTCATGCTTGCCCTCCTGTGTGTGTGGCCGTGTCCGCAGGGACAAGCGGCTGCAGTCCCTGGGCAGCCCCGCCCGAGCCCGTGCCTTCTTCAGCGCGCCCGTGGTCGTCTTCCACCTGAACATCCTGTCCTACTTCGCCTTTCTCTGCCTTTTCGCCTACGTGCTCATGGTGGACTTCCAGCCCACGCCGTCCTGGAGCGAGTGCCTCATCTACCTCTGGCTCTTCTCCCTGGTGTGCGAGGAGATGCGGCAGGTGTGCACCCGGCCCAGAGCGCCCTGGGAGCCCCATGCCCTGCTGCCCTCTCTCTGCCCCCCGTCTCAGCAGTTCCTGGAGCACCGAGGTCCTCGTCTGATTCCTCCAAAGTGGGTGCCGTCACCCTGCGCCCTCCTGTCCCCCGGGAGGGTCCGGGGGGGGACTGACCATGTCAGTTTCGGTCATTTGCAGAGGACTCGCAGGCTGGCCGAGAGCAGTGAGGCTCAGCTCAGTGGCTCTGGTAAAAGTCCGTGCAGGAAACCAGCAGGGGTGGCGCTCTGGGCCGTGCCCAGGCCCTGGTGAACCTGGAGGGCCAGCTGTGCCTCCCCAGCTGGAGGGACAGCGTGCCCAAGGCACGGCCACCAGGGGCTGGGCCAGCTGCCTGTCGGGGCTGGAGTGGGCCCAGAGGCACATGGCCCCGGCTGCACTCACCCTGCTCCCTGCACTTGCAGACTCTAGTGCCAGCTTTCAGAGGTGACCATCTGCCCGCTGGGAGGACCCCGGGGAGGCATCCCGTGCCTGGGCCGGGGCTGTGCCCCTAGCCCACCTCGCTGGAGGCTGTGCCCTTCTCCTGAGTCTGTCCCTCGGGCCCAGGGAAGGGACCCGGTTGATTTTTGGGTCACCTGCCCCCAACCTGGCAGAGGGTGCCAGACTGGCAGGCCGTGCAGGGGGTTGTGTGGCCCCTACTTCAGAGAGGAGGGGCTTCTGCATACACGCAGACACAGGGACACACACACACGTATCTGGCAGGGGTCCCTGGGTCCCAGAGAGCACTTGCTACCCACGTCCTGCTCAGGTTCCCCGGTCCTGTGGGGTGGCGGGTCCTCCCTTCTGCCCACCCAAGTTCCCTCCACACGGGAGGACTGTGACGGTGAGGACGAGTTCCTGTCTCCCCACTAGCTCTTCTACGACCCCGACGAGTGCGGGCTGATGAAGGTGGCGTCCCTGTACTTCAGTGACTTCTGGAACAAGCTGGACGTGGGGGCCATCCTGCTGTTCATCGTGGGGCTGACCTGCCGGTGAGCGGCCGTGCGGCCGTGCGGCCGTGCGGGGAGCTCAGGGCTGGGCTCTGCTCTGAACTCCAGGCTGTCCCCTGTCACCGCCCACTCCTGTGGGCTCACTTCCTGTCCACGATGGGGGTGCACCGCTGTGAGGCCGTGGTCCTCCTGTCCATGAGGCAGGGCGAGCCCGGCCAAGCCTCCTTGCTTCCTGCAGTGTCCCCAGGGCCTGGCTGCATTGCTTGAGGCTGGGCTTCTGGAGATTCTGCCCCTGGGCCCCCAGCTTTGGTGCACTGCTGAGCCAGTCCTCAGTGCTGTCCCCGCCCTGCCGGCCGCAGGCTCATCCCGGCAACACTGTACCCCGGCCGGGTCATCCTCTCCCTGGACTTCATCATGTTCTGCCTCCGCCTGATGCACATTTTTACCATCAGCAAGACTCTGGGGCCCAAGATAATCATCGTGAAGCGGATGGTAAGGTTCCAGTGGCCGCCGTGGCGGTCCTGTGTCCGGTGCCTGTCTCTGAGCCACCACCCCTGCCCTCTCCTGGGGTCCTCTGGGTGCTCCACTCGCCCCGGGCGGCTGTGACTTCTCCTTTGGCTGCTGGGCACGGTGGGAGAGAGGGACAGCGCAGCCCTGTGCCTCGTCGGCAGATGAAGGACGTCTTCTTCTTCCTCTTCCTCCTGGCGGTGTGGGTGGTGTCCTTCGGAGTGGCCAAGCAGGCCATCCTCATCCACAATGAGAGCCGTGTGGACTGGATCTTCCGCGGGGTTGTCTACCACTCCTACCTCACCATCTTCGGGCAGATCCCGGCCTACATCGATGGTAGGACTGGGGTGCGGGCCCCGCTGGGGTCTGAGAGGTGTTCCGGGGAGCCCGGGCTGTGCTCTGCTGTGGCCTGGGGCACTGGGCATCTGCTGGCAGCCCCAGCAGTAGAGGCCACCTGTACCCCTGTCCCTCCCGCTGTAGTAGAGACACTACCCCACCTCCTCACCCAGTGGACATAGCACCATGCAGAGGGGTTGTGTGAGACTGCACCCCCGATGCATACTTCACCTGTGCAAGCTGCACTGTCAGTGGCTTTTCGGGTTTCACAAAAGCTAAACTTTGCATTCACCTCCCCTAAAAGACAGCCCTACCTGGCCATTTTCTTCTCCTCAGCCTAAGCAGCTGCCCGTTGACGTCCTGTCCACACATACTTGCCCTTCCTGCACGGCTCAGGTGACTTGGATGATGTCCCAGGAGTCCTGTGCCTGGCATCTTTCACCGGGAGCATTTTCAAACCTTGTCCATATTGTAGCACAGTGATGGCGAACCTATTAGAGCTTTCAATGATAAAAACGGCCCACTGTGGCACGCATGCCGTAGGTCCTCCACTGCTGTTAGCATGGGTCATTCCTTTGGATGGCTAAATAATATTTCATGTCTAGATGTACCGTATGCTTATTTCTTCCTAAACTGATGGACATTTGGGTTGTTTCCGGTTTGGGGGTTCTATGAACAGTGTTGCCACGAAGAGGGACTTGTAAGTTTTTGTGTGGGTGTGTGTTTAACTTTTTGAGGAATTCACAGTATTCTTGAGAGCAGTGTCTGAGGATTCCAGTGTCTCCCCAGTCTCCCTAACACTTGTTGATTTTTAAAGTTATAGCTGTGCTAGTGGGTGTGAAGTGGGTCTCGCTGCAGATTTGACTAGCGTGCGTCTCCAGCAACTTTACCGTTGGACATCTTGGGGCCATTTCTGTGTCTTTTTTGGAGGAAATAGTTTTTCTTACCCTTTGTCCATTTCCCCTTGGTTTTTATTATTGAGTTGTAAGGGCTCTTTATGTAAAAAAACACCAGACCTTTATCGTATAGATGATTTGCAAGCACTTTCTGTTACTACGTGGGTTGTCTTCATGAAAAGACACTTCCTTCCAAGAATGAAGGTTTTTAATTTTGATGAAGTACAACTTACCAATCTTTTAAAAAATCGTTTGTATTTTGAGTATCTCATCTATGAAACGATTGCCTAACCCAAAGCCGCACAGATTGATGTCTGTGTTTTCTTCTAAAAGTTTTACAGTGTTACAGTAGCTCTTTCTTTTTGGCTTTTGACTCATTTACATTATTTTTGTATATGGTGTGAGGTAAGGTTGCAGGGGGATATGCGCTTGTCTCAGCATTACGGTTGACAAGGCTGTTCTTTCTCCTCGGAATGTCCTGGCACCCCTTCGGAAAGCCGGCTGACCAGGCATGTCAGGGTTGGTGTCCAGCCGCCCAGTCCTGTCCCACTCGGTGTGTCTGTCCTCACACCGATACCTCCTTGCTGTGGTTTCCATGGCTTTACACTAGGCTTTGGAATGGAGAAGGGTGAGTCCTTCAGCTGAGTTCTTTTTCCCGGCTTGCTTTGGCTTCTGGATCCCTTTGGTTCACGTATATTTTTGGCTCAGTTTATGTCAAAAAGGCATCAGGGCATCTTCTCACTTTTTTAGATCTTTAATTTATGGCAACGATGTTTTGTAGTTTTTAGTGCATAAATCTCTCACTTTACAAACTAAATTTACACACTAAATCTCTCACTTTACACACTAAATTTACTCCCAAGTATTTCATCCTTTTTCAAGGTATTGTTAATTTTTTTCTTTTAAGATCCTCTCCCACCTAATGAACTCTCCAGGGTTGGGACTTCCGGCTTCTGATGACGGTGGCCTTGGGAGGGCCCCGGTGGGACGGCTGGGTCCTGGGTGGGCTCCGGGCTTCCCTGGTAGCTGTGGTTCTTGCCTAGGGAGGAAGCCTGGGATGGACAGAGCTTCCTGTTGGCCTGTGTCACCAGGTATGCAGGTGCCCAGGCCTGCGGGGCTCCTTGGTGGTGACCGGGTGGCCGAGGTCCCTTCTGGCCAGCACCCTGTGGCAGCATTGTCAGTGTGGCTTTCCCACCGCACTCCCACCTGCAGGCGTGAATTTCGACCTGGAGCACTGCAGCCCCAATGGTACCGACCCCTACAAGCCCAAGTGCCCCGAGAGTGACGTCATGCAGAAGCCCGCCTTCCCCGAGTGGCTCACGGTCATCCTGCTCTGCCTCTATCTGCTCTTCACCAACATCCTGCTGCTCAACCTCCTCATCGCCATGTTCAAGTGAGTGCCCGGGTGTGGGATCCCTGGCCTGTGCCTACCGCCCCATTCTCCCAGAGGACCCCGTGGACGTGGCTGTGAGCAGGGGCCCGGTGTGCCTGTCCCCTGGAGGCGCCTCCTAACATCCTGGGGAGGGCATGCACAGCCACTCCTCCCTGGTCACTGCTGGCCGCCCGTACCCCCGCCCCCGGGGGACTGACGGTGCCGCGTGTCCCGCTCAGTGGCGGTGCTGCTGTGTGTTGCTGGCATTCACCTCGCTCTGTGTGAGCAGCTGTAAGAGGGCTCGTTGCTCTGCCCAGGAATGAGCTGTGGCGCTGGCTGCTCAGGGACCCCAGCCCCCTACCGTGGGTTCTGCCTGTGTCCGCACCCCCCAGACGCGTTCCTGTGCCTACTGTCCACCTCTGGCTGTGCCAAGCTGGGGCTTTTCTTTCTGGGGCTCTGGTCCATCTCTGGACCACTGCGCCTGCTTCTCCCACAGTGAGGGGCTTATGTGTCAACACAGGCGTGTACACGTGCGCCTAGTCACTTTCCTGCTGGGACAAAATACCTGAGATCACAGCTTAAGAGAGGACAAATTTACTCTGGCTAATGGTGTGTAGAAGTTTTAGTCCATGGGTGGCTGGCTCCAAGGCAGGCAGCGTGGCAGAGGGCGGCTGCTCAGGCCGTGGGGAATGGGAGGCAGAGGGCAGGGAGGAGAGGGGAGGGAGACGAAGCCTCCCGCCCCCAGTGACATCCTCTTCAGACCAGGCTCTGCCTCCCAACAGCAAGCCAGCTCTGAGCCCCAAATCCAGTCCCCTCCCCAGAGCAGCACTCTGTGTGCACATGAGGCTCTGGGGGACCCTAGATGTAAACCATGTGTGTCCACCCTCCCCAAGCACTGGCTTGTAGGTGTCATCCCTAGGGCCCCACAAGGAACTGTGCCTTGTCCCTTTATGGGGAGCAGTGTCCTCCCTAGGTCCACATCCTAACCCAGAGAACCTGTGGACACGGGGCCTGAAGTGGGAACGGTCCTGGATGACCCAGGTGGTCCAGCACCAGCAGGGGTCCCTGTAAGAGGGAGATGGGAGATGTGATCCGAGATCTGAGTCTGGGACACAGTGCCACAGACAGAGGCCGATGGTCCCCGAGCCTCCAGGGGGAGTGGCCCTGTGACACTTCGGCACTGGCCCAACACTGACGCCCCAGAACCTGGAGAGAACAAATGTGGTTCTTCTCTGTCTGTGGTGAAAGCAGTCACAGGGAACGAGTACAGCGGCTGCTCCTCGGGACATGCCTGGTGTTCTTAGATCTTTGGTGTTTTGAAACATTCCGTCTGGCTAGAACTTCGAGGCTTTGCTAGTCGTCTGTCCTGCCTGCTGTGGTGGACATGGTCTTCTTGGGCCTGCAGGCATCCCATGAGTGTAAGTGTCAGGTCTCCAGGTAGCCTTGCTGGGGCCAGGCTCTGGAGGCCCCACTACACTTTTGTAGGCGGATTTTCGTTTTGAGGGGACATGGTTTTTGAGACCGCATTTCACTGTGTATTCCTGGCCAGGCTTGAACTCACTATGTAGCCCGGGCTGGCTGAACTTGTGGTGATCCTCCTGCATCAGCCTCCCAAGTTCTGGATAACAGGTGTTCCATAGGTTATGAACTTGGATCAAAGAGAGCTCTAGGTCCTAAATAAAGCAAGAGGCAGGGAAATGAGGAGCCAGGGAAGCAGGAGACCATGATTGAAGACTCTGGCATTTGGGCCAGGACCTGGCAGCCCCTGCTGTTATGTCCATGGCAGCCCTGTAATTCAGAGAATCCTTCACTCACTCGCCCTCCAGCCTCCGATGATGGATTCCATCCCTTGAGAATGCTCTTCTCCTGGTTTACTTAGGTGCCAGCTTCCCCTCTTGTCTGCAGAGCTCCAGGGTGGCCCTTTCGCTTTAATGGGCTCTGATGAGAGTCTGCGCTCTAGACCTGGGATCTAGGGGCCAGGCCTGACGGGGTGACCCTGTCCCCAGGCAGGGAAATTGGGTGGGGCCGTGAGCCCCTGCCACCCCCTCCCTCTGCCCTTGTTCTGCCAAGGCCCATCCACCTTGCAACCTGAGCTGGCGTCTGCACAGCCTGCAGGAGGGAGACAGCGCCCTGGTCCCAGGCTTGTGGAAATTGACAGATGGACTGCTCTGAAAGCGCACACCCCCGTGTTCCCTGTACCAGTGTCACTGATGAGGCCGCTGAGGCCTACATGACTCTGTGACTTCACTTCTTCTCCTTGGCCCTCCTCCTGGCGCTGGGAATCCGGGAGCTTGCTGGTCTCACTCCTGACCTCCTGGGCAGCTGCTTCTGTGGTCTCGGGGGTTGCCAGTCCTGGACCACGGGCTGGGGTCTGTTTCCCGCACACCTGCCGATGCCCGTGTCCCCCTCGCCCCCACAGCTACACATTCCAGCAGGTGCAGGAGCACACGGACCAGATCTGGAAGTTCCAGCGCCATGACCTGATCGAGGAGTACCATGGCCGGCCGCCGGCGCCGCCCCCGCTCATCCTGCTCAGCCACCTGCAGCTGCTGGTCAAGAGGGTGGTCCTGAAGATCCCCGCCAAGAGGCACAGGCAGCTCAGTGAGCGCCCCCGCCCCCGTGTCCCCAGGGCACGGTCCTGGCCACCTCAGGATGCAGACAGGACCCTGGGGCCGGTGCAAGGCCCCTTCTAGAACCCTGGTGACCATGAAGGCTGCTGCTGCCCTCCTTCAGGGCCCCGGGGTGTCAGGTGGAGTTCAGGCCCTTCTTTGCCCAACAGAGAACAAGCTGGAGAAGAACGAGGAGGCGGCCCTGCTGTCCTGGGAGATCTACCTGAAGGAGAACTACCTGCATAACCAGCAGCACCAGCACCACCAGCGGCCGGAGCAGAGGATCCAGGACATCAGTGAGAAGTGCGTGGGCCGCGCCCTGCATCCCACAGGCACCGAATGCGGGCCTCAGGGCCCAGAGCCTACCCAGTAGGCCCCGGGTCCGGCTCACCCAGCGTGTGTGGGACAAGGGGACTGGACCATAAGCTAGCATGTTGGGGTCCTCCTGGTGGTCACTGCTGCCATTACCGCGGCCCCCTGCAAGCCTCTAGGCCTGTGTCCAGCGGCTGACTCAAGGACCCCTGGGGTCCTGGGCAGGCTGGGTCTGCAGGTGCAGGAGGGGCAGAGGCTGGGAGGGTAGGGGAGCCGTGGGAGCCCGAGGGGTGTTGATGCCCTCCCAGGAGAACACGGAAGGTGCACGCCTGTGGCGCTCGAGGCCATCCTGAGGGTGGCGGCCTATGAGCTTCACTGGTGCCCATCCTGGGGCCTTGGCCACATCAGCACCGTCTCCCAACCCGATTCTTCCTGCCTGCTTCTTTCAGGGGCCAAGGTCTGTGTCGGGGAAGCTTATTCTGCTCACTTCTCTGCCCCAGCCCCTCAGCCGTGCTGGGTGGCAGCGGAGAGAGCTGGTGTCAGGTCCTGATGTCAGCGTCTCACTGTGGCGGATCCTTGCTCCTATCTGACCCCGGGCTCCCCACCCGGTGATGGGAGTCTGGGGAAGGGGACAGTGCCACCCAGTGAAGGCAGTTCCTGCCGGGCACGGAGATTCTTAGGTGGTGATGATGGTGAAGGGGGATGATGCGTCACCAGGCATGGTGATGCACACCTGTAATCCCAGCACTCGGGAGGCTGAGGCAGGAGGATTGTTGCCAGTTTGAGACCAGCCCCGGTTACAAAGTGAGCTCAAGGCCAGCCTGAACTGCATAGCGAGACCCTGTCTCAAAAAGATAAAAAAAGAAAAGGGAGGTGATGGTAGCGGTGGTAGAGGTGATGATGGGGGGGTGATGGTGACGGTAACAGTGGTGGTGACAGTGGCGTGATCGCGGTGAAGGTGGTGATATTGATGAGGACAGTAGTGGTGGTGGAGGTGGTGATGGTGACGGTGATGGTGACAGGCACCGCGGTGAGGTCCTGACAGTCCAGCTGACGGTTGAAGCTGCTTCTGTCTTGCATGCTTAGTGTGCCCATTATTTGGCTGGTGGCCCCCTGTGGGTTGGGCTGATGTTTATCTGCTCCCTCCGTGGAGATGTGAAATCCCCAAGAGCAGGGATGGAACTCTTCATGCCCCTTGCAGTCGTCAGGGCCCTGGAGCGGGCCCGGGCCTGGCAGACCCTCAGCAGGCATGTGCAGTTCTGGAGCGGCCGCTGGCCCCCAGCCTGACAGGACTGCAGGAGACTGGATGTGCGGTCTCAGTCTGGTGTTCTGCCCTGACCTTCCAGTTAAAGAGGACCTGCGGGCTCAGTGTCCCACCTGGCTACCTTCCCTCACCGGCTGTGGCCAAGAATGCCTTCATTAGCAGCCTTCGCTGGTGTCATCTGACTTTAAACAGTGGCCATGCCCAGGGCCCAGGTGCTGGGGAGCGGTGCCAGGGTGTCAGGGTGCCCGGACACAGAGCTCTGGAGCTGGCCTCTGGCAGTTGAGGGGGTGCAGTCAGCGGGAGGTTCTGAGGAGACACTTTGCCGGTGTCTTCCTCCTCAGTCCTCTGGCAGCAGGCAGCGCCGTCTGTTCATCTTGCCATGGAGAAAAGAGGCCTCAGAAAGCGAGGGTTTGGTAGCCGGGTGTCGCGACCAGCACACAGTGCAGCCCGGGTTGGAATGCCGGCCCCGGCGTGGCCGTGTGTCCGTTTGCACAGACGCACTGATGAGCACCTGTCCCTCTCGCCTCCCGAGGCTGTTCCTATAGGATGTGCTGCGGCTGGGATGCAACTGCTGTGACGCTTTAAAAGCTCCTGTTCATGTGTCCCGGAATCTTCAACAGAAATTGGTGTGCTGCGGCCGATAAGACCTTGCAAAACACAGGGCGACAGGGGAAACGATTAAATAACTCGGTGACTCTTACGAAGGTCGCCAGCCCTGGCCACTTCCTCCAGCTGGGCCCGGCGAGGGTCCAAGGTCCAGGCAGGCGCCCTGGCATGTGGCATGCCAGGCCCTCACAGCTGGTAGCTGAGCCGAGCTGGCAGAGCAGGGCTGGGGGCCTGGGTCTCCTGTGCGCCATCCGCACATTGAGGCGGCTCTCACCTCCTCTGACAGAGTTGCAGGGGCCCTCGGAGACTGCAGTGATCATCCTGGAATATTCCTGCGCTCTGCAGGAAGTCCAGGCCGGGGCCAGGGAGGTGGCTTTTGTGGGTCCGAGCAGTACACTGCGTGGGCAGAAGTAGACCTGTGGGCCGTGACCCCAGGAACACTCACTGAGGATCAGAATGGTTGCTTTCTTTATTACAAACGCAACCATAGTTGGGAAAAGGAAGTAAGGGAACCCCTGGGTGAAATCATGCCCGTTTTGGACAGGGGTTGGCTGTGGACTTATTTTAACTACAAACATGGCAGGCCAAGGTGGATGGAAGTTTATGTTTTGTATTATTTTTTTTAACTTAAATTTTTTTTTTTTGAGACAGGGTCTCAGTATATAGCCAAGGCTGGCCTTGAACTTATAGAGATGCTTCTGCCTCAGCCTACTGAATGCTGGGATTTTAGGCATGTGCCACCACATTGGACTAGAAATTTATATGTTTTAATAAAGTGAGACAAAAAAGAAAATTTTACTTGAAATCAGCACTCCACTTCCCCACCCCCAAACCAACCCAGCTGTTCCCGGGAGATGCTTTGTCCTCTGTGATTTGAGGATCAGAGTGTGTGGCTGGCACCCTGTGGGCAGGCATAGTGAGCCAGCTCAGGTGTGTCTCACCCTAGACACCCTCTGGCGGGCTGTCACTGGCCCCGGGAGCCTGGGCTGTCCTTCCGCTGTGACACCTTCCCTTTTGGGGACTCCAGGCAGTTTCATTCTGTTGCACGTTAGCCAGTCTTGCAGGTTAAGAGGAAGGCGACTGACGCGAAGCCAATGTAGAGCTTGGGTTGCTGGATCTGGCGGGGCCATCCGCATGCAGGCGTCCTGTCCCTGAGTGTCCCAGGGCCCCCAAAGCCTGCTGCCTGTGGCTTACCTGTGTGCTCTTCTAGAGTGGACAGCATGGTGGACCTGCTGGACATGGACCGTCTGAAGAGGTCAGGCCCCACGGAGCAGAGGCTGGCATCCCTGGAGGAGCAGGTGGGTAGGGCGGGGCACCAGAAAGGGGAGAGGAAGAGGCGGGACATTGGGAAGAGGCACTTCCTGCTCTTTAGAAGCGGTGTTGTGCCTGCCCCCGCCCCCTGTCCGGGAAGACCTCAGACCCTCAGACAGACTCCTCTCTGCTCTCGGAGGCTGCAGAGACTGTGGCAGCCAGCAGAGGAGGGAGAGCCTTGGGCTGGGCAAACCTCGCTCTGAGGTTTGCTGTGGAGGGGGCGGGCAGGGAAGCTCCTTAGCCCGGAGCAGGTGCACAGATGTGGGGCTCCGGACACGGCCTTGAGGCTCCGGAGCGGCCATGCAGAACAGGGCGTGCATGGGGATGTGGGCCAAGAGGAGCCAGGGCGTCCTGAGCCAACAAGGGCCGTGGCCCGGCCTGATCTGGCTGCTGGGTGTGGGCATCTTGGGGCTCCCGTGACAACAGAGCTGACTCGCAGCTTGGGAAGCCAGAAGCCCGACGTCAGGGTCCTCTGAGCTCTGCCCTGAGTGGACGTCAGCAGAGCCCTCACATGCTCTTGTCTTTGCTGTCAAGGGGAACAACCCCCCTTGTCCACTGGTCCCCTCGACTCTGAGCACTCCTTGGGCTTGCCCACCCCCGATCAGTGCCCACTGACCAGGCCCTGGACTGGTGCTTCCCACAGACCCCTGCTGCCCACAGCAGCCGGGACAGCAGGGTGAGCCTGCTGCAAGCCTACCACTGCAGTGTGTCTTCCAGCCAGCGCTGTGCTGGTGAGGTGCCCACCATCAGCGAAGTCCTGCCCACTGTGTCCAGGGCCTCCTGGACTCTCCTGTGGGTCTGTGCCTTGTGACCCCCAGGACAGGTGTAGCAGCCTGAGCTGCGTCTTCCTGAGCCGTGTCCGTCCCAGAGCCCCTGAGCCCTGAGCACCGAGGTTTCTGGGGAAGTTCGGTGGGGAGGGCTGCGAGGACACCCCTTCCTTTCGTGGTGCCCCATGGGGACTTAGGTTGCCCTTGAGTGTGCAGTCCGGTCCCATGGGCAGGCGGCACTGTCGGCACTGCTGAGGTCAGGGAGCAGCACCCCGGGAGTCAGGGGCCTTACGCCCCTACAGTGTCCCGATGCTTTGGTGGCTGTCTGGGGAGCTGGGAGCTGGGGGAGGCTTGGTTTCCTCTTCCAGACGGTACAGAGCACTGAAGGTGGATGTGCTGTCTGGGGGAGCGGGGTCTCCTGGGAGCCAGGCCCTGGGCCTCACTGTCAGGTAGGCAGGGGTGGCAGCGCTGCGCTGTGCAGGCGCCCTCACGCCTTCCTTGGGCTGTGGCTTCCAGGTGGCCCAGGTGGCCAGGTCTTTGCACTGGATCGTGAGGACGCTGAAGGACAGTGGTTTGGGCTCTGCAGCAGGCGCGCCTGCGTTGGGTGAGTGGGGCCCTGACCAGCAGCTGGTCCCTGCTGACCTGGGGGTCTGAGCCTTCGTGGGCTGGAGGAGAGGCAGCTGCAGGGCCCTGGTGGAAAGACGGGTCTGGCCACAGCCGCCCCTGAGCCCTGTTGGACCAGCCCCTGGGAGCTGAGCATTTTCTGCCCACGAGGTGCCTGGCCTCAGCGTGGCATGACCTGACCAGGCTGCTGGGTCCCAGGGGCAGCCTGGCCCACCATCCCTGGCCTCCTCCTCCTCCTTGCTTCGAAGGTAGGGTGTGGTGGGCAGCTCCAGGGGCGGAGACCGTTGAGTGACCCAGTGACAGAAAGCAAAATCCATTTCCCTAAATTTGCAGCCCACTAGGAAGTGGACACAAGCAATCTTCCTCAGGTGTGGCTACCCCAAAAGCAAACTTGCACCCATTAAGTGGACAGCCTTTCCTCATGGCCTGTGAGGTCAGCCAGTTACTGCGATCCCACCGAGGGGATGCTGCCACTCCTGCCCCTGGGCCCAGCAAGGGTTTGGAGGTCTGGGTCAGGCGGGTGGAGTGCCCTGCTCGGGCCCAGCGTTGTGTCACGGCCCCGTGTGGCGTCCACAGCACCCCCAAAGGCCCCTGACGAGCCGGATGCCGAGTTAGCTGGCAGGAAGAAGGAGGAAGAGCCAGGCGATGGCTACCACGTGAATGCCCGGCACCTGCTGTACCCCCGCTCCCCCGTCACCCGCTTCCCCGTGCCCAATGAGAAGGTGCCGTGGGAGGTGAGCGCCCACCCAGCTGGTGCCCTGAGCCCTGGGAACAGGAGAGAGGCCCTTGGTGTCCCCCGTGGCTCCTGCCTGTGGCAGTCTCATGGAGCCCCAAGTGCTGGGCCAACCTTGTTTGAGGGGTAGGGAAACTGAGCCCCACTGCTCGAGGGACAGAGGGGGCCTTGCAGGAGCCTCCGGGGCCTGTGCCTGCCCAGCCATCCTGGCCCTGTCATTGGCTCTCTCCGCCTTGTCCCAGGCCCCCATGCCCTGGAAGCAGCAGCCTCTGCAAGTGCCAGGCGTGGACGAGGGAGCCCCTTCGTGGGCTCACCCAGGCTTGGGGCTGCCCTGCGCCCTTGGGTGTTTTGGGTCCTGGTGGCCGTGGCCTTGGCTGTGACCCCCCGGGCCCCTTGGGGTGGTGGCCCAGCTCTGCCTTGGGGACAATCTGAGGATGTCCTCCCTGTGGTGCAGACAGAGTTCCTGATCTACGAGCCTCCTTTCTACACGGCAGAGAGGAAGGACGAAGCCCTTGTAGACCCCATGGGAGAGTGAGTGTGCCCCGGGACCCTGGCTCCTTCTCAGAGGGGCCTGCAAAACTCCTCCCTAAGCAGGACAGACCTGGAGGCCCTCCTTCCCTTCCCAGAGGCCTGTAGGACGCGGCCTACTGTCATGGGCACACCTTCCCCATGCCCTGGCACTGCCTGTGGCCAGAGTCCCTCGGCAAGCCCAGTCCTGGGGTCACCTCGTGTGCTCTTGCATCCCGCCACCCTCTTATGGGCACGTGTCCTTCTGCTGTGTTCCCAGGGCCCTTGAGCCTCTGGCTAAGATCCAGTACAACGCCCTAGATGGACCAGTGGACCGGCGCAGCTTCCACGGGGCCTACATGGTCCAGGACGGGCTCCCACTGTGAGTGCTGTGCCCGTGCAGGCTGCCCTTGGGACCCGTGCCCTTCCTTGGCATGTTGGCATGAGGTGATGTTTTCATCTGTGAAAACAAACTGACCACAAAAGAAATGGAAGTATCCCCTTGGGTGCTTCCTAGCACCCTGCTGGAGCCGCCTCTGTGCTGTCCCCTGCGCAGTGGCGGGAGGCCCTGAATGTCCCCCAGCCCAGGGGCAGCCCCTGAGGACTTGGGCTCCTGGGTGGCAGGGTGGGGATGCTGGTGTCACAGGGTGGAACAGACTCCTCCTGGTGACTGAGATGGCGGCTTCTCCCACAGGGTGGGGGCAGGAACCCAGGGGCGAGGCCAGGAGCCTGCGTACCAGCCTGGGCCCTGGGGATGGCTTTCTCTGCCGTGTGGGGGCCATCGGGGAGGTGCTAGGATGTGGCTGGCGGGGGAGCACCATGGAGAGGGGGACCCAGGGCAACTCGGAGGGGGAGGGGCTGGCTCTTTGGAGAACATTCTGGAACAGGAAGTGGATGCTACAGGGGATGAGTGCGGAGGGGACAGACCCCACGCCCAGGTGTCCTGCTCTGGAGGCGGGCATGCAGCACGGGCATGGTGGTGCCGCAGACGGCGTGTCAGGGAGTGGGGGGAAGTGCAGCCAGGAGGGAACAAGGGACGCCCTGCCCAGGGGGTGGGCGCAGATGGCCCTGTGGAAAGGGGCTGGCTGGCAGGCAGGGCTGGGCAGGGCTCTCTGCAGGCCACAGCAGAGAGGACGAGACCCGTGCACCACAGCAGGTGGCGGTGTTCACATCCAGGTTGTGCTTCCCAGGCCTGCGTTCTGTGAAGTCATTCTCTCTGGTCAGTGTGCTGCTGCTAACACAGTGCCACAGGCCGGGCCAGTTATAAAGAAAGGAGGTTTACTGTGGCTCGTGCTTCTGACCCGAGGTCAAGAGCCTGCGTGTGCCACACCTTCCTGCTGGTGGCGTCACATGGCAGGAGAGGGCAGAGGGGCCCTGGCGAGGCTGGCTGACAGCAAGCTCTCGTGCTCGCCCACCGGCGGGTCACAGTGTGCACCGTTGCTCTTAGGGGTCTGGTCCCAACTCCAAATATCTCAGCATGTGGTTAGATTCTGATGGGAGTCTGGGAGGGGGCAAATATGTTCGAAACATAACCGTGACTGAGAGGTACTTTTCTGTGTTCCTGTAATACAGTTTAGAATTAGTGTTTTCACTTGGGGCTTCAGCGCAACCGGAGGTTAAGGCGTGAGGAGGGACAGTGTGTGAGTTAGCTTCCTGCCACTGTAACAAATACCGGGACAGTGGGCTCACAAAGAGGGAAGGTTGCTTTGGCTCTCAGCCGGAAGGGGCTCAGTCCATGGTGCTCAGCTCTGCTGCTTTGGCACCTGGGGGGAAGCAGTCAGGGCAGGGTGTATGTGGTGGAAGGGGAAGGGCTGGGGCTCCTCGAGGGCCCCCAGTGATCTCGAGACCTGCACTGGGCCTCACCAAGGCCCCCCGCTGCCCCGCTCCATGCCTAACTGATGGGGAGAGAGAGTGGCTCTCTCCAAAGCCTCTGCCCCCGAGCCAGGGGAAAGCATGTGGAAGGCGAGGACAGTGGTAGGAGGCGGAGGCCAGCAGGCTGGGCGACTGCTGTGCTGCAGACAGACTGGGGCACAGATGAGGCAGGGAGGCCCTCGGGGAGGGGCGCTGGGAACAGACCTGAAGCTGTGGGGGTCTGTAGTGCTGGTGCCACCTCCTGGGGTGACCTGCGGGATGGTTTCTGTGCCAGGCCTGGAGAGCCAGCAGGCTGCAGCAGAGAAGTGGGCACAGGGGAGGCAGAGGGAAAGGAGCGTCTGGGGTGCCCAAGAGGCAGGGCCAGGGAGCACAGGCAGCTGAGGACCAGCTGCTGGAGCACTGCGTGCTGGGCCTGGCCCCTGTGCTGACCCTTGAGAGGCCCCTGTTCAGTAGGGCGGGAGTGGCCACCGGGAGGCCAGATTCTGCTCCCAGGGAGTCCCCGCCCTTGCTGAGTGCCCCCCAGTAACCAGGAGCCCTGGCCCCAGCCTCCTGGAGAGATGAGCCCGCCTCCCTGGGTAGGAGTCTGGAGTCCCCGGCATGGGCAGCTGCTGAGCCCAGCCTTCTCCACCCCAGGAACCCCATGGGCCGCACAGGGCTCCGTGGACGCGGGAGCCTCAGTTGCTTTGGACCCAACCACATGCTGCATCCTGTGGTCACCCGGTGAGTTCCCTGGGGACACAGTCACCCACACGTCCACTAGAGGCGGTTTCCAGGCACCCCGTGTGCTCTGAGAGCCAGAGGACAGCAACGGTATTGGGTGCTTGGTATCTGTCATGGGGAAGTTGGGGCGGGATCTGAGGTTCTCTGTGGACATCCTGAAACTGGGCAGGGATGACCCTGTTCCCCCGGAGCCTGCTCTTGTTTCCTGGGGACCCCGGGAGCCCCACTGGGAGGCAGGCAACCACCAAGGTGGGGCTCACTACCGTTGAGAAGTAGTAAGAGAATGAAAAGGCAACCCAAGGTCTGCTGACATTTATATTGGGGGACTGTCCTGCTGGGAGACAGACAGACAGACGGACACACAGTACATCCATAGCCTCGTGCACACACTCACGTGCACACCCACTGTACATCCACAGACTCATGCACACGTCTACACGGGCACTTGTACCCCCTTGGGACCACCCCTTCTTGCCCCTCTTACAACTACATGGTGCTCAGACCTGAGCCCTGCCCGCCTTCAGGACCAGCTGCTGCCCAGGTGTGTCCTGGCAGAAGCGCAGGGCCCAGCCCAGCTGCATTTAAGCCCAGCACCCAATGGGGCTCACACCAGCATCTCCAGGACCTGGTGCTGGAGAGCTGGGTCCGTCCTGTGCTTTCCTAGGGCTTTTTGTTTTAGAGCAGTATGTGTCTGCATACCTAGTGTTTGCACTGTGCTCGGGGAGTAGGACTTGTGCGTAAGACTTTTAACTGTTTTCCTTGTCTCTGTTTTTTTGTGTGTGAGTGGCGGGACTCAAACCCAGGGCTCACGCTTGACAGGCAGGCGCTGTACCACTGAGCTATACCTCCAGTCTTTAATTGTTTTTATTCTCCTTCTCAGTCCCTCCTCCCCCTCCCTCCGTCTCTAGATCCCCTTCCCATTTGTGAAAGGCCTAGGACCCTGTTTCCTATCATCTGTCTTTTATTTTGATGAATGTGCAAAGAAAATGCATTTATACACAGGAGTACTACTTTGCCATAGAGAAGGGTGAACTCGAATCATTTGTAGGAAAAAAGATGAAGCTTGAGACCTAATGTTAAGAAATAAATCAGACGCACAAGTTTTAAGGCTTTCGATGGAAAATCTCCAGAATGCCTGGACCCCTTCTGCCCTACCAGAGGTTTGCGGAGGTGGGGGATCATGACGCCTGTGGCAGCTGTCTCTGATTGTTCCCTGGGCCGAGATCCTCAGGATAGAAGGGGGAGCGGCAGTGGAGCGGCAGTGGACCGGCAGGGGGCCCAGCACTGGCCCCAGGCAGGGCCAGCCGCAGCTGCTGCTTGAGCAAGGGCAGTGCGGGACCTCGTGCACCTGTGCAGGGGTGAGCAGGTGTGAGTGGAGCCCTTTGCAGGTGGAGGAGGAATCAGGACGGCGCCATCTGCAGGAAAAGCATAAAAAAGATGCTGGAGGTGCTGGTGGTGAAGCGGCCCCTCTCGGAGCTCTGGGCCTTGCCGGGGGTAAGACGGGTGGAAGCAGGGGTCGAGCTGCTTGTGACAGGCAGCCTGGTTCTTCACGAGTCCTTCTGTCCCTCCCTCTGGCCTGCCGTCCCAGGCAGGGCAGTTCTCGCCGCCCCTGGGGCTGGGTGGCAGTTGAGGCTGGCACCGTGCTTTTCAGTTCTCCCTTCCGTTTCCTTATTCTGCAGCTGTGAACGCTGAGCTTCAGATTCCCTTGGGAGCACAGGCTCTGAGCACCTACAGCATCCCAGGCCAGGGCTCGCTGGTGGCTGACGGCCTCTGTGGAGCTCAGCATGGGGGTGGCAGTTTCTCCCAGGCTCTGCCACACACCTGCCCTTCCCATCCATGCCCCAGGCGCGCTCTGAAGACAGCACCTTATTGTCCAGGGCAGGACTGGGCACAGTCCTGGCTCAGGGTGGAGGCTGGCTGAGGGCCCAGAGCTGGCGGGCACCCCAGAGACCGGTGGGGCCAGGCTTGGGCAAAAGGTCACGCCTTCCTGCCCACCTCCACTGCCGGGTTGGAGAGAGATGTGCATCCTGCCCGAGGCCTGAGTCCTGTGAGGCCTGGCCACGGCACCTGGCGTCCTTTCCTGTGCCCAGCTCCCAGGGAATCTGTCCTCTACCCAACTCAGCAAGAAGTCCTTGCCCTCCAGCCCCACCCCTACCCCACGGCCCAGCAGCTGCCTCTGCAGGGGCACATGCCACCATGAGCCGCCACCGGGGATTTCAGGCCCAAGTGTGGATGCCAGGCCCAGAGAGATGCCCCAGTGGCCGCCCAGGCGAGAGGAGGGCCTCGGTCCAGAGACAGGTGGACACAGGACTGTCCCTGCTCCCGTGATCAGACGCCGATGGAACGGGGCTCTGGGCAGTGTCACGCCTGTTCTGAGTGACCAGGGCCTGACCAGCTGCCCACTCCGGGCTGGCGGCCTGCGGAGATGGCCCAGCTGGTCTTGGAGCCGTGGGCGCCTTGCTGACCAGCTTTTGCTCCTTTGCGCAGGGCTCCCTGGAGCCAGGGGAGTTGCTGCCAAGGAAGCTGAAGCAGGTCCTGCTTCCAGAGGCCTGGCGGGAAGTGGAGGGCCTGCTGCAGCAGGGCTCTGAGGTGGGCGGGGCTCTGAGGTGGGCGGGGCTCCGGGTGGGCGGGGCTCCGGGTGGGCGGGGCTCTGAGGGGCGCGGCATGGCTCCCAGGGGTCCTGAGGGCAGCCCGCAGAAGGAGCCCAGGACAGGGGACCGGCTAGCCCTGTTGCAGACATTCATCACACTCGCCGTGCTGGTGACAGCCGACCTGGCCCGGCCGGGCCTTGGGCAGGTCGCCAAATTCCTTCTTTAGAAGTCTGGATCTTTTTCCACCGGGCTCGGCCTCCAGCGTCCCTACATAGTCTCGCGGGGTGAGGGGAGGGGCTTCTAATAAAACCGGAGTCTGCGCGTCCCAGTAGCTGCCCTTTCTCAGTGTTAGCTCACGCTTCCCGCTTCACCTCCGGCTGTGTGAGGCCGTGGTGTCGCTGCGGCCTGTCCTGTCCTCCGGCGGCCCCTCTGCAGCCCAGTGCGGAGGGTGCCGTCCCAGGTGACTTACGGCTTTGATGCCCAACCCAGCAGCGTCTGGCTTCCCCTGGGCAGGCCTCGGGCATGCAGACACCGTCTGTCTTTGCTCACCACTTAGAAGGGTCTTATTTTGCCTGGAGTAAGACTTACATTATGTAAAGCTGACTTTTTGCATGCGTGTTCGCGTGCGCGTGTCGGGGGTGGTGCCGGGATGGGGCCCAGAGCTGCTTCCTGTTCTGGGCCAGTGCTGCCCCACTGCGCAGCGTCCAGGCCAAGCCTGAGGAGGTACGTAGCACTGGTAGCACGGCACGGCACCCCCACCTCCGCTTCCAGGGCTTCCGGCACCGCAGGGTAAATCTCAGCCCCTTAGCAGGTGGCCAGTGGGCCTCTCGCTCTGGAACAGTATCTGCCTCCTTCGAGGATGATGTTCTGTGTGGGTCAGTTTTCCAGCCTCCCCAGCCTCTCAGGCCCCTGAGGCCTTGGAGGCCTGGCAGGACAGCCATTCCTAGGAGGCCCTTCTCCAGACTCCGGCTGGTGGTGGGTTGGGGTGCCCAGGGCCTGCAGCTGGCAGGCTCACCCCTGCTCTGCCTGCAGGTGTACAAAGGGTATGTAGACGACCCACGGAACACCGACAATGCGTGGATCGAGACGGTGGCTATCAGCGTCCACTTCCCAGACCAGAACGACGTGGAGCTGAAGAGGCTGAACTCTGTATGAGGCTGGACATCCGGGGCGGGGATCTGAGGGGTGTCAGGGGTGGGCCTCAGGGGCTTCTGGGGAGGGGTCTGCCAAGCTCCTGGGTCCAGAGCTGCCTGGGACCAGAGACGGGGAGCCACAGAGTTCAGAGTCTTTTCTGGAAGGGGCGCCAGGGAGAGGCCAGAGCGTTTAGCAGAGGGCTAGGCGAAGGTCCTGCGCAGTTCCAGGACTGGGGGTCTCAGGGCTCACGGGGCGTCTCAGGGGCACCCCAGCAGGCATCCCTGTTCCTGTGTTGCAGAGTAAGCTGGCTGCACTTGGTCCCCATGCCCTCTGTGGTGGGTTCTGGGCACCTGGGTGGGAGTGACGGCCGCCCCTGTCCTTGCAGCACCTGCACACCTGCGACCCAGGTGTGTCCATCCGGTGGCAGGTGGTGGACAAGCGCATCCCACTGTATGAGAACCACAAGACCATCCTGCAGAAGACGGCCACTCTGTTCGGCGCCCACTACTGACTGTGCCCTGGAGCACACACCTATTGCCCGAGGTGTGTGCTGCCCTGGGCCTGTTGTGCTGTGGCTTGGGGACCTGCTACCCTGAGACGACCTGTGTTGGCTGGTGCTGCTGGCATCAGGGAAGGAGCCGGGCTCCTGCACAGCCTTGCCCTGGGCTGCAGTCTTCCCCTCCTCAGACCCGAGGTCACAAGCAGGGTGTCCACCCTGGAGCTTTCTAGAGAGCTGGGGGCCCTGTGGGGTCCCCCTGCCTGAGCCTTCGAGGACTTGGGGAGTGGTGCCTGATGTGCCCCCCAGGTGCTGGGGCCTGATGTGGACCCTGGCTTGGCCGGGGTGGGGACACCTCCGGAGACCTGGCTCACTGCCCTGCTGCCAGGCCTCAAAAGCACAGAGAGGCCGGCCCTGCCAGGAAGGGCAGGTGGGTGGGGTGGGGGACAGCAGGGGCCCCTGATCTGGATGCGGTGACTCACAGAAGCAGAAACCATGAGAGCTGGGAGACAGGAATGATGTAAAGCCGAGATGTTAAATCTCATTAATCTCAGGCTGGGCTGGCCGGCCCTGCAGCACTGTCCACAAATAAAGTTCTGGGGCGGGGCTACCAGGCCGCTGTGGGTGACTTCCTGTGGCCCCTGTCTCCTGCAGCACCTCTGTTGACGCCCCCAGGCCCAAACCTGGCTTTGTCCTGGAACCCCCCAGGCCCCTTCTCCATTTCCCCAGATCTGCTCCAGTGTCCAGTGTCACCCAGGCCTTCCAGGAACCCGACATGCACTTGGCCCACCCCTGCCTCCCCACAGGACGATGCTGCCCATGGCATCGGTGACCCTTCCTGGGGACTCTGGGCCTCAACGCCCCCCCCCCCAGAGCCCAGGCACTGGCTGGTCCCCCAGCCCTGCCCAGCCACACCTGTCTTCCACTGGCCCAAGCTCCAGTGCTGTCTTCCCATGCACGTGCACAGCCCTGACTCCCCAGACCTTTCCCTTGGGGGGAAGGTGGGGAAGGGGTGCCGTGGGAGTGTGACAGGGACATCCGGAGGGGTGTGCTGGGCCCAGGGGCGGGCTCGTGGCACAGCCGCCAGGAGAGGACTGTCGCTGGGCCTTCTGCTTTCCAGTGCAGGCTTCTGAGGTTGGGCAGAGCCCAGGATTCTGAGAGATTCAGGAATTCCAGGAGCGGAGGGGAGGTTCCTTTTGGCCAAGCTGATGGCAGATCTGCTCAGAGGGCACACGCTCATTGCCGCGCTCTGCCTGGGCTCCCTACCCACCCCTTCTGTGCTGTGTGCCAGGGAAATGACTGCCAGCCTGAGCTTCCTCTGAGGCCAGGGGCAGGTGTGGGGCTGGCACAGAGAGCTGCGGGCAACCCCAGTGAGGAGAGGGGCCGGGCAGCAGCACAACCCAGCCAGCCTGTGGCCCGGGAAGGCCTGTCTAACGCTGCTCTGCAGCCTCCCCCGGTGTGGGGAGGGCATCGCCGGCCGTGCCAGGGTGTTTATTCATTCCTCTGACTTTATCTTCTACGCCAGTCCCCAGAGACACACTCAGACCAAACCCTGCCAGAACATCCTGTGTCAGGGCAATTACCCAGCAGCTGCATGGCACCCCAAGACAGGTGCTGCATGCGGGCAGAACAGCGGGCACGATCGCCACCCCGAGCCCACTGGCTGCCACATGGCCCAGCTGCATTAGATGGGTCCGAAAACCTCGGCAGAGGTCTGTGTGCACAGCGCAGCCCTTCGGATCCTCGGACATCATCACTGGCGAGGCAGGCCACCCACAGGGAGCCAAGGGGACCACGGGGAACAGGCTGACACCAGCGCCAAGCCCGCAGTGGTCTGATCACGCCTGGAGGAGGATGTGACAGGTTGCAGCTACACACAACACCCCAGAAACAACACAGCAGAGGGAGGAAAATGGGATAGTGAAAGGACTGCATCCATCAGCTTCGCATTAAAAGATGAAATACAGGAGGCAACTGAATTTATTAAGAGAAAAGGTTAATTCGGCTCAGAGAGAACAGCAGCAGGGGCACGGAGAGGCGCCCCTCGACCACATCACTCCATGGCACAGACAACTCTGCACATCTCCAGAGGGGGAGGGGCAGAGCACATGGGCCCCAGTTCCTGGCTTTCTCCCTCCAAGCCCCAGCTCCTGAAGGCTCCACCCCTCCCCAAAGTGCCACCGGCCGGGAACAAGCCTTCGCCTCGGCATTCACATCATATACCGGGACCATTCCAGACACCAAGCAAAGGCAGGCCCAGAGGACAGGGAGCCAAGGCCAGATGGGACAGGTGGGAGGACAGCAGGAAGATGGTCCGGTCCCAGCAGACAGCCTGTCCCGTGTAAGCGACACAGCCAGGGACCACTACTTGCAGAATAACTGCACTGCTGGTCTGACTTGGTGTTGTGCTTTGTGTTCACAAAGCCTCGTGCACTCATAGCTTTTTCGGAGGTGGCTGAATCAGAGCATGCGATTGATTTGTGGTGCGGTGCTGAGGTTTAGGGTGCTGGGGTAAAGGGTGGGTGATTGCTGGGTCAGTCCACTGATTGGGTTGGCACCGCCCTGATCCCAGTAGCCTGGATACAGTGTAAGGGACAGAAAGAAGCTTGTCTCGCTCTCTCTTGTTGCTTTTCACTGTCTTCTGCCGCCATGAACTGTGGCCCCTTTGCCCTGTGCTTCCCTGCCTTGGAGGCAGCTGATTATGGACCGAAACTTCGACCAACTGAGCTAAATAAACCTTTCCTCCTCCAACTTTGGGGGTCAAGCACTTTGACTCAGCGGTGAGAAAAGTAAGTAAAACACTCAGCCTCACCTGGCTTCCTGCTCACGTCCTGTGTCCCGGGGTTCCACTTCTCTCTGAGCTGTCATTTCTCCAGTCTCTTGTGCCCATAGCGGTGACTCACTTTTCCTTCTCTAATGGGCTTCTCCGTTCGGAACACACAGTTTGTCACTCTAGTCTGTCCTTTGATGTGGCTGTGCTTGGTGCCCTCAGCTGTGATGAGGACACCCATGGGGCAGTGGCCACAGGAGCCAGGCAAGCCCTCTCCTTTGCCCACGGCAAGGCTGCTGCTGTCCATCTGCCTGATCATTGGTAGCCCTGACCCTATCACACGAATAAGGCATTTTCTTCACTGTAGAGCTACCATCTTTCCTTTGGGGTTAATAAATGTATTGAGGGTGGTACTGTGACACTGTGGAAACCCTGAAGGACATTAAGTGTCATGATTTGTATCTATCTCCCCAAAGCCTCACCCACTCAGAGGCGGGGCTTTGGGAAGCCACTGGGTCCTAGGGTATGACGCTCATCAGTGGATTAGTCCCTCCTCCCTTGATAATGCTGCTTCCTGCCTGCAATATCGTGGGTTGTCTCTGCTCTGCCAGGCCTTTCTGTCCTGTCGCCCTGCCTGTGGAGCCAGCTGACCGTGGACCGAGACCTCTATCACCTGAGTAATAATCCTCTCCTCTCTTAAATTTCGGGGGTTGGATATTTTGTCCCAGTGACCAGGAAAATAGCTAAGTAATAAAGACATACTGGGCTGAAAGTGAAGGGGCAGCAGGTGGTGTCCTACACTAACCGCCTCAAGTATGGCTGTATTAAGATCGGACGAAGTGAATTTCAAGCCAGAGAATCTAGGGTTAAAAGGGATGCTTCAGAGTAACAGGTTCCATTGTTCAGCAACCCCTCATAACCTGAACATACAATTTTCAAAAGGTGCAAAGCAAAAACTGGTGGGACGCCAAGAAAAGTACCAAGTTTTCGATGCTATTTCTTTTTTTCTGGTGCTGGGGCTGGAACTCCTGGTCTTGTACAAACCAGACAAGCACTGTACCACAGAGGCACACCTCTGGCCCAGGACTCCTGCAGAATCAGCAAATCTTTGATCAGAGTCACCTCAATACCTCTTCAGTAATGAATAAGTGAAGTAGACAGGAAGTTGGTAATAGTAGGAGCTACTTCATAACAGTCAGGAGCTGGGATGTAGCTCAGCGGCACTAGTGCCTGCCTGGCAAGTGCAAGGTCCTGAGTTCGATTCCCGGTACAAAAAATAAATAAATAAAATAACACAGTCAGCAGCCTTGACCTCACAACATTCAAAGAACATGTTGCGTGACAGATCACACATTCAAGGGCAGACAGCAGCTCTGAACCATAATCTGGACCATAAATGAGTCTGAACAAAATTAAAAGGACCCAAGACATCAAATGTGTCTTCTGAAAATGACAGACTGAAAGCAATAATCAATATCAAACGAATCTCTGGAAAATTCCTGAATGTCTGGAAATGTAAAACTACGCTTCCAAACTCGTAAGTCAAAAAAAGGACCCCAAAGGGAAACTATAAAGTATTTCAAGCTAAGTGATAACAAAAATACATGATATCAAAATTGCTGGGATGCAGTTAAAGTAGGACTTAGCGGGACGTTCATTGCTGAGCTGATGGAAGTGAACGAAGGGAAGAAAGGTCAGAGAAGTCAACGAAAACAAAGAAAAAGTGAAACAGTAGAGAAATCAGTGAAGCTCCAAATTGGTTTTTTGGCAAGATCAATAAAGTTGATAAACTTCTATCCTGATTTATCAGTCTAAAAAGAGCCAAGAACCACCCAAGTCAGGAATGAGAGAGGTGACACCACTCACATTCCATTGTTCTATAGGTATTGAAAGGGTGGTGAGGGCAGATTAAGGAAAACTTTATGCTGATGAATTCAACAACTTCGATGAAACGGACAATGCTTGTGTGATACAAACATTCAGTCAGGAAAACAGTAACCTCAGCAACTGTGTGAGACTTAACCACATTAAAAAATATTACCTCAGGGCCAACTGGCATTTATCTCGAGAAGACAGGCTGATTTAACACCTCGCGTCAGTGTTATTCACCATGCTGTCAGACTGCAAAAGAGAGATTCTCAGTTGATGCAGAAAAAAACAAAATCCAACAACAATTTCTGGTTAAAAAAAAAAAACAACAAAACTTTAAAAAGCTAGAGAAAGGGTATTTTTTCCAACAGTCATGAAAACTGATTGTCCATACCCAGAAAATAACCTTGAATTATATCTTACACATACACCCAAATTAAGTCAAAATGGGACATATAAATTCCTATAATATTTTTGTGATTTTGGATTAGGCAAAGATTTCTTAAAAGAATGATCCATAAACGAATTTAAGAAGCTAAACTGAACTTTCTCAGAATTAAAACTTCTACTCTTTAGAAAATAAGAGAATGAAGGACAATCCACAAACTCAGAGAGACTATGCACAAACCACATACCTAATAAGGGATTTGTATCCAGGGGGACAAAGAATTCTTAACAAGAGGAAAAAACCCAAAACCCAATCAAACCAAACCCAAAACCTAAAAACCTAGCACCATTAAAAGTGGTTTCAGTAGAACACTTTCCTAAAGAAATTATCTCCGATGGCTGGCAAATAAACAGATGAACTGGGCATGGTGGCACATGCCTGGCATCCCAACAGGAGGCTGAGGCAGGAGAATTGCTACAAGTGCAAGGCCAGCTTGATTTACATAATGAGTTTAAGGCCAGCCTGGACTACATAGCTAGACCCTGCCTCAAAACAAACAAAAGATGCCCAACGTCATTAGCCCCCAGGGCAACCGAGTCAAAATCACAATTCAGTACCCACTACACCTGCTAGAATGTCGGGAGAGAAAAAGCCCGCCCACACCCGTGTTGGTGAGGATGGCTCTTGGGCTCCGTGAGGCTGTGCAGCCCCTCTGGCAGCGCCTTCGAGACAGGTGCAAGTGGTCACTTGGTCCCACCCCCACCCAAGCTGTTCACTCAAGAAAACAAGCTTTTGTCCAGATTCCTCCGCGCGGCACCTCAGTCCTGCGCAGGGGTCCCACACACCAGGAGCCAGTGTGGACGGGGAACAGAGGCCACCCAGGACATGCCCGGAGAGGCTGCTGCGCCCTGAAGGCAGGACCCACGTCTCAAAATAGCCACGCCAGGGGAAGAGGCCGGATAAGGCAGGAGTCCATTTACGCAAACCAGAAATGCAAAGCAGTCTGCGGTGAGGAAAAGCAGACCGTGCGGCCGAGGGGGACTTGAGGTGTCTCCTGAGCTGGCTGCGGCGAGGGTTTCGCAGGGGCACGCAGACGTCAGCACGGATCACATTTAACCGTGGTTTACCGTGTATCCATGACACCGCCAAGGCTGTTTACAGAGCCCTGGGCGGGCTGAGGTCCAGCTGCAACGCCGCACCCCACCCTCGCTGCCCTCCGCAGACCCTGAAGTGCCCCGGCGACCGCGTCTAACCGCGCTTGGCGGGTCAAGGATCAGCAGGCGCAGCCCACCCCCAAGCAGGGTGGGAGGAGCCTATGCATACCCAGCCGGCCGGGGCCGTGCACGACACGCCCACCGCGCGCTCGCCAGCTTGTGTCCGCACCCCATCTGAGGGAAAGCCGGGCTCCAACCCCGCCCAGGCCTCCCGGAGCCCCGCCCCTAGCCTGGCTCTGCCCCCCAAAGGGCCACTGGCCCTTTAGCCCCGCCCCTTTCCAGGATCCTCGCCCTCCGCAGGTCCCACCCCTTTCAGTCCCGGCCCCTCACCCAGCTGCGGGCCCCGCCCCTCCCTTCCCCTGGGCCCCGCCCCTTCGGAGCCCCGCCCCTCCAGCGACTCCCTCCCCTCTCATGGGCCCCGCCTCTCCCGTAGGCCCCGCCCCTCCCGTAGGCCCCGCCCCCGGCCCCGCCCCTCCACCCGCTGCCAGTCCCGCCCTGCAGCCGGCGCCCTCCCCATCCCGCGCGGATCGGCGTGGACACCGCCCGGTCTCCCCCGCGCGTGGCGCGTGGCCTGTAGCCCCGCCAGGCTCCGGGAGCCCCGCGGCGGCTCAGGTACCGCCCGCTGCCCCTTCCGCGCACATCCCCGGCCCGGCTTGAGCCCCGCCCCGGCCGCGCGCCCGCCAGCTCCACTCCCTTCCGCGCCCGCCTTCATTCCTGATTGCGATTTTTAAGGATTTTTAAGGTGTCGCTGTCCGCGGGTGCCGAGCGATAGGCAGGTCACACCCCTTCTCGCCCGGGATCGCCTGCCCACTAGCCGGCCCCACCTGCTCCATCGGCTGGGAAGCAGCCCGCGCATCCCGGGTCGCCACGCGGGGTCGCCACACGGAGTCTCCACGCGGCGCCGGGGCGGGGGTCCCGGCTGGGTGTGACAAGGCCTGCCGGGCCGCGGCCAGTGCCCGCTGTCCCCGCTGCTGCGAGCGCTTATCAGGGTGGCTGTGGGCGTCTCCAGGAGCAAGGGACGGGCAGGTAGGTCCAGGGGGCGCGACCTTCGCCCTAGTGCCTCCTCTGAGCGCCGGCAGGCTGGATGACGTGCTGCCCACTCCTCCCTGCCCTGCCTGTCTCTCTGCTTTAGAGCGGATCGCACCGCTCCTGTAGACATGTGAGCAAGGAGTTCGCACCTGCTTTGGGTGAGCCCTGCGCTGTGCCCGCCAGCCGGAGCCCAGAGGAGGCACCTGTCCCAGCTGAGCAGGATGGGCCCTAGGGGAAGGCAGAGCCCCAGGCCCCCACTGGCCCCTGCCCAGCGCCCTTGGCTCTTCCTCCTGCTCTGCCTGCGCCTGGGCGCCTCCTGCCCACAGGCCTGCAAGTGCCCTGACCATACAGGGCCTGTGGCCGTGCACTGCAGTGACAGCGGCCTGCAGGAGGTCCCTGGGGACATCCCCGCCGACACCGTGCTCCTGAAGCTGGATGCTAACAGGATCTCCCGTATCCCCGACGGCATCTTCCAGCACCTGCACCAGCTGCGCGAGCTGGACCTGTCCCACAACGCCGTGGAGACCATTGGTCCTGCTGCCTTCTCTGGCCTGGCTGGCGGCCTGCGGCTGCTAGACCTGTCACACAACCGCATCCGGAGGATCCCCAAGGACGCCCTGACCAAGCTGGGTGCCGAGATTCGCCTGTCCCACAACCCGCTGCACTGCGAGTGCGCCCTGCAGGAGGCGCTGTGGGAGCTGAAACTGGACCCCGACTCCGTGGACGAGATGGCCTGCCACACCTCCGCGCAGGAGGAGTTCGTGGGCCAGCCGCTGATCCAGGTGCTGGACTCAGGCGTCAGCCTCTGCAGCACTCATCACAAGACCACAGACGTGGCCATGCTGGTCACCATGTTTGGCTGGTTCACCATGGTCGTCGCCTACATCGTGTACTACGTGCGGCACAACCAGGAAGACGCCCGGAGGCACCTGGAGTACCTGAAGTCCCTGCCCAGCGCCCCCGTCCCCAAGGACCTCGGCAGCCCTGTGCCCTAGTGCTTGTGGCCTGCAGGCCACCGTCCTCCAGCTGCCGTGGACTTCCTGGCAGGTAGAGACTATGTGTACTTTTGCTGTCCCCAGGGAGATGGGCGTGACTGCAGCTTTGGCCCAGAGCTGGAGTTTGGCAGGTTCCTTCATGTGCTGCCCCTGGCCACTCGGTGGGGGCGGAAACCGAGTTTTGGAGAAGTGTGGACTCTCACACCACAGCCACGATGTGGTCCGGCTGGGACAGGAACCCAGGCTGCCTGTGGTGACATCCGTGCCCCGGCCACCCTGCCAGCCACTCCCAGGGCTGCCTTTGGGACGCAGATACACAAGCAGTGGCTTGTCTTTGTGTGACCCTGAGGCCCCTGGCACTGAAGTGTGTGTCCCACTTCCAGAGCAAAGTCCTGGGGACCCGGTTCCCCAGGGAGGGGGAGGGCCGAGCTTGCCCTGAACTTGGCTCTCAGTGCTGGAGTGACCTTGGCACCGAGGTTTCAGTGCACTGAAGGGGAAAACACGGAGAAAACCAGAGAAAGGTCCAGACACACACGGCCCTGCCCGCGTCCGCTCTGGCTGTGCCCGCTCGGTGGAAGGAAGGCCTGGACTTGGTCACTGCCGTGCCTTGCTTTTCTACGCGCTAAAATCCCAAACGGCCCTTCTCAGAGGACGGGAGGACCGAGGTGTGACCTTTCCTGGCTAACCCACCGGATGCTGCTTTTCCTCGGCAACAGGAATCTTCTCTGTTCACCTCTACTGCCAGTAATCTCAGAGCACATTTACTGCTCGGTTTTCTTACCTGTGTTACTTCATGTTCAGGGTAGATGCTACTTCCACCTATACGGCTCTAATTTTACTTTTTACTGTCTTTTTTGTATGCGTGTTTATATTTAAACTACTTCAAATATCTTCTTGAGGGGTGGCAAATAAGTGTAAATTGTGTGTGGGCTCAAAGCGTACTGCATAGATGCCTCGGCAAGCAGAAGCTCGGCGTTGATTAGGGTGTGTGTGTCTGGAAGGCGTCGTGTGACTTGCGGTGGGGGCTGTGTAAGGCATGACCTGGGCTGGCGATCTCACGGCCCCACTGCAGTGTCAGTCTGGAGGCCCGGTCCCTCAGGTGTGAGTAACCAGCAGAGCTCGGTGGATCAAAGCAGTGATTCTTTAATCTTGGTGCATGAGAAGGGAACCACTCACAGATTTCAAAACTCTGCGGCAGAATGCCCAGGCCTCTTTCCCAGGCGGGGTGCTGAGTGACTGCACAGGGCTGTGTACCAGCAGGGCAGCGTGACTGGGGCCAGTTCAGGCCCTGCTCACCTGGCCTGTGCCCCACTGTCCCAAGGCAGTGACTCCATCCTGCTAGACTCCTGTCGCAGGAGAACTGAAGCCGGGCGACCGGCCTCTTCATGATGACCTGGGTGCTGGTGTGGGGGCAGCCTGGTTCACACAGCACAGACGTGGCCAGCACTAGGTGCCCAGGCCCAGTGTCCAGAGGCAGCAGTGACCCTGTCTGGGTGAAACGAGGCTGAAAAGCAGGAGTGAAGGACGTGTGGGTTAAGGACGTCGGCTCCAGTGGACAGGGATATCTCTGGCCGACGGCTGCCTCCTGGGAAGCATTCTGCGTAGGGACGTGGCTTAGCACTGCTCTCGCAGGGATGAATGCCGGGCGCTGTGGGGGAGCAGATGTGATTTGGGCCCCTGCAGTCCCTTTGTCCCCGTCCCTGGGCACCGTGATGGGAGAGGCCCCCCAAGCCAGGCCCTGGTGCTGGGAAGGGTGTGGGCCAAGGCCACGTGTGGGAGGTCAGGATCCTGGGGACTCTTCAAATGTGGCTCTGCAGGGGGCACACGGGGCGGGGAGGGCCAGCCCGCTCCTTGCTGAGGGTCTGCTGAGCCCCTGCGCAGACCCCACCAGGTGGAGGTGGGCAAAGGGCCTTTCCTCCCCGCAGGAGCCCCCGCTCACCTCTTCTTGTGGGCCCCCTGCTCTGAGGAAGACCCCCGAGAGCCCAGACCCTGTCCTGCTCATCAGAGCCCCACTCTGCTGCCTGCAGAGACACTGGCTTTCTGGGGTGTGGTGTCCCCCCGGACCCTGAGCACTCCCAGTGTGCCTCTCCTGTGGGGCAGGGCAGTGCAGGGGTCTGAGCCCACCCTCCCGTGTCCCGGCAGCCTTTGGCTTTTGTTCCAGCTGTCCGGGGTGCTGGGCTCTGAGCAGAGGGCTTGAGGGGCATGAGCTGGGCAGACTGACTCAGAGGCGGGATGTTCCAGGTTTGTGGCCACAGCAGGTGCTGGGTGGCTTCCTAGCCATCCTTCCTGGAGGCTGCTCCACACCCTGGCTCTGTTACCACTCTGTGACCCTCAATAAAGTTCCCTGTGCTTGCACTGGGCCACATGGCTTCTGCTGTCTGCACCTGGAGCCTACACGGCACCGTGATCCGGGACCGCACCCCACCGGGCCACTTTGCATTGGCTCCCATCAGCTGATCGTCAGTGCAGCTCCTGCCGCTGCCACTCTTTCACAAATTTTGTGACCCAGATGACATCCGGATCATGGAAGAGTCTTCATAGCAGGGAAAGTGGCAAATGCTGCACATTGGGGTCCCACCCTCCTTCCGGGAGGTTTTCCGAGGTTTACCCCAACCCTGCTGTCTGGGGCGGGTGTTGGCATAGCCCCTCCCGGGCTAGGGTCAGGGCTGCCTGGATCCCCACCACCCAGGCTCTTGGTCAATGGCTGTGCGCTGGGCCAGGTTGGGAAGACAAGGACGAGGACTCTGGGTCAGAGGCCTAGAGTATGATGTGACCCGTGAGATTCACCTTCCACCCATACCTGGGCCCCCCACGGGTCCATCCGTGCCTTTACCCAACCCTGGGGTCATGGGTGCCTTCCTGACTCCAGGTAGGCATCTGTGTCCTTGGGGACAGCGTGGGTGCCCCCACCTGCCAGCCCAGACTGTCCCCACCTGCTTCCAAGCCTTCTCTGCCGTCAGCTCCTGGGGCGGGAGGACGGGACGCCCACCTGCCGTGAAGCCTTTGCACAGTGTCCCTCTCGCGGGTCAGCCACTCATGGGGGCCTCCCGACACCTGGGTCTGTCCATGCGTCAGGGTGCCTTCCTCTCCGATGGGTTCAGTAACCGAATGTGCAGGTGGGCGGTGGGGAGTAGTCCCTGGGGTGTGACTTGGAAGGCTGCATTCTCGTCCTTGGCTTTCCCCTTCTCTCTCTGCTACCTGGCTGCCACGAGGGTGGGCAGAGTTCCTCCCCTGGTCCTTCCTTGGAGCCTTCCCTCTGCCTTGGAGCCAGCCGTGGACGGAACCCCCTGGAAACTGTGGGCCGGATACACCTCCTCTAAGCTGTGGGTGCTGGCGACTGTGTCTCAGCAGCAGGAGGTGGGGAACACACGCCCCAGCCTCAGAATCAAAGGACCTGACAGTGGCCTGTAGTGTTGTAGGCATCATTCCCTGTGTGCTGAGCGCATTTGCCATGCCCCGGTCCTCGGCTGTTTCTTCCCCTAGTGAGGCCGTGTTGCCCAGGTGGGGCCGGTGCAGCCATTGTAGGCTGGGCTCCTGGGCCCTGTACACCCGTCCATGAAGCTTCCTGGGCCTTGGCGGGGGACAGTTGTTCTTGGCTCCTCTGCTTTCCCCACGTCCACCCCATCTGCCCCACTGTCTCGAGGCACTCTCCCGCGGTTTGCTGCTTTCTCCCACGTGCATCGCCGGCTGGGAGCCCAGGACACGGAGGTCCCTGTTCTCACCGCCCTCACCACCACTGCGTGAACACCAACCCACGCACAGCCTCGACTTCCGCTTTGGGGGACCCAGGGTCGCTGACTCGTAACTTGCAACCTCAAATTCAAATGACAGAAAAACCTCTCTGACTTCAGCGCAAGCTATTTAAAATATGCCTGTTATTAGCTGCTACTTCCAATTAGATTAGCTCAGAAAACTGGACGCTTGGATTTCTTTTCCAATGAAATCGGCCAGATGGTTTCCCGCAGACACAAGCATCTAATGTGTAACTCAAAGGATGCCTTTCTCCCCGCAAAGATTCTGGTTAAAGTTACGGATCTGGTTCTTCAGCGGAGTCTCCTCTTTAGGAAATGTGAACGTGAGGCAGGCACACTCTGGGACTCAGCGGTCCTGAAAGAGGAAACCGTGGCTCAGTCCCTTACTTTAGACAACTGTGTCCTTTTCAGTTCACGCTGCAACGTGGTTTTGCATTGTGCAACGCATTTGCCTTGCTAACAATGCAAAGGTGCCCCTTCCCGCAGGCTCTGAAGGGTGGCGTGTGAACTCTGCATCCGTGCATACAGCAGCGGGATGTGGGTTCTCACTGTCAGCTCTGTGACCTCGGGGTCTGTCTGTCCTGTTGATTCAGCCTCCCCATGGTAGAAAGGGGGCTGACAGCAAGCTAGCTCGGGATCCTGTGCTACCACTCCCGACCTTAGGCGCACCTTCCTTTATTCCATTTTCCCAGAGCACTGGCTTCCTCACGCATTTCCTCCTTCCTAAAAGGCAAGCCGGCCAGCAGCATGGCAGTGATTTGGGAGAGGAGGAAACAAAATCTAAAATGAGTCCCCTTTCAGGACCTTGCCGCTCCGGCACCTGGGCCCTGGCTCGTGCTGCCGCCTCAGCCCCTCCAGTGACGCTTTCTGCTGTGTTTGTTACAGGCCCTGCCCTTGGCTGATTATCCCGCCACACACCCATCTCTTCTAAGAGCCGCTTGTGGGCATGAAACGACATCTAAGTTATGCATCAGGTAGACGTCAGCAGCTGCGAAGCAGACTTTAGCTGAACCTGAAGGAAATCAGGTCAAAATCGTGGAGAGTTTCGGTTAGGTTTTGTACCACTTTGGAGTTAAGGGAGATAATATCAGCTCTCCAAACTTTCCACTCACCTTCCAGGACTCTGCCATGTGCTGAAATCTAACTGCTCCGAGAATCACTCCCTGCTTATACCCAAGATGGTCTTCTCGCCAAGGCTGAGGTTGGGGCAGCTGGTGTTGGCCGGGCTTTGTGCTGCTTCCACATGACCTGACTTTTTATGCTGCCGTTTTGAATTAACGTAAGTTTTAGCTGCAGGTGATGTGTCTTCTAGCCAGGCATGGGGTGCACAGGGCGCAGTGCATGCATGCATGCACACATGTTCACACATGCATGTGCATGCACACACGGGGAGCTGGACACAGGCATAGTTTAAGGCACTTGAAAACTACAGCTACACAGACAAGCCGTATTATTTAACAGAACCCTTTCAGGTCAGCTTTGAGTTACTGAAAATGACAGTTTGCTTAGGTGCAAATGGCCCCTAAATCTAGTTCTCACCAGTTCTTGGGACACAGGGGTGGAGGGCTGCATAGGCAACTTGGCTGCCTAGAGGAGAAAACCCAGGAAAAGCACCCTTGGGGCTGCTCTTGTCTTCCTGCCTAGGAGCCTGGGCAGGTGGGGGCCTGCGTGGAGGGGCCTTGCAGGTGGAAGAGCCCCAGGGAGCCTGTGGAGGAGACTGCAGAGGGTTAGCAGAGGGCTGGGTGTCAGTGGTCCCAAGGAGGAGGATGGGTGATGTAAGGGCGACAGGTCAGGGAGGGCACAGGGCTGCCCTCGGAGCAGCACCACAGGCGAGGGAGCAGAGCTGCCTCTGGAGGCTGCAGAGGTGGAGACGGCTCCTCTCTGGAGGCCCAGAAGGAGCCCTGATATCCGATGTTTCCCCAGGAGACCAGTCCTGACCTCAGACCTCTAGAATGCCGTTGCTCGGGCCACACAGTGCAAAGGAATTAATGTAGCGGCCACAGGAATTGATGCAGTCTCCCTCAGCGTGAACTGCAGGGGTGGCCACGCAAAGCCCTGGTGCTCTTGGGTTATGCACAATTCATGCTTCAGCTGATGACCTCAGGGCCTCTGTATCACCTGTTACCCGTATCCTCTCCTGCCAGACAGATTTCCCCT